AAAGGCAGACTGGGCCTTGCGGTGGATAGCAGACAGAGAGTCTACTTTTGGTACGTATTTTCGTTGCCAGGAGCAGTCGGCCTCATAATCTGAGACTGTTGTATGGTGTGACTCTCGGGTACCAATCAAAGTTAAGGGACAGGAGAGACCAGCAGACATCCTGGTGTGTGCCTTTAGCAGAACTGTGATTTCTAATAATTAGAAGCTCGTGACAAAAGCATCTCAAGCTGTTGTCTGTTTTAATAAATTGAAACTTGAAAGGTGGAAGTCTCATGAAGCCCACATGTTTCAGGGAACATATACAGAGTTTCTAAAGAATCAAGATTAACAAGGGCTGAGCTGATGATGCTATAAGTAAGGGACTTGCTTTGTCTGCAGCTGCTATGGCTCTACTCCTAGTTCAAGTCCCTGGCACTACCTAAGGCCCCCCAGAGCACAGAGCCAGGAATATATACACTGAGCACCACTGGGCGTGTCTCAGCCCCACCTCCCACAGAAATTAGGATTAGTAACTTGGGGCTAGAGCTATAGTCTGTGGGGAGGGCACTGTCCTTGCATGTGACCAACCTGGCCTTCATCCCTGGCATCCCATATAGTTTTATGCTTGGACTCACCTTTTCCAATGAACTCATCAGCAGAGATGAGGTAAGGAGCAAAGTGTGCTAGTTATTTGTTTCTGTTCTTTTTTTTTATTTAGAAATTAAATATTATTGACAAACACAGGTATATTAATTATAAATTAGAATAGAAAAATATCAGAGGTCAAATTATAAATTATACACTTTTCTTTCTACTTTCTTCTCATATCGTCTTTCTACTGTCTACTTTCTACTGTATCTGAATGTAGGAAAATCTTTGGCAGTGTGAATTTATGAGGTTACTATCTAAGGAATCCAAAGACACTATTTAAAAGCTACATGGATATATCCCTAAAACAGTTGTTTTGACATCACAACAAATGAGAATCAAAAACACTAAATCAATTGTAGAGTACTATGGTAATTGGAAATATCATTTAATGTTTTATCTTGTTGCATTTTTCTCAATGAATTCTAGGATATCCTTTTAAACATATGGTTTGAAATAATAAGCAGTAACATGTTATTTATATCCATAGTAGAATGCAGAGTCTCTGAATTAAGACCTGGGTGGGGAAGAAGACCAGCACAGCTTTGGGGACTAAGAGGACTGTTTCTGTTCTTGTGTTGAGTTCATTTCTTTTTCTTTTTCTGTCTGTTCTTACGGTGACACAAGGATCCTGATAATATAAGAAAATAGCTCTTCCGTGAGTTAGGTGGTCCTGAGACCACTTTATCTTCAGCCCAGACATTTTTGGTATGTGTGTGTTGGGGCCTCCAGACCCCCAAAGCACTGCCTGGGAGACCCCCAAAGTGAGTAAAATAAAAGCTCTGCTCACCCCAACTCAGATCCTCTGGGAACCATCTCCATACTCCTTTTCCTTTTCCATTTGCTCCTTCATGCCTGGGAGGTACCTGCCTCGCCTGATCATCTTCCCTGTCCTTTCATCTGTTTCATTCCTTGCTCTGTTCCGGCCACTTTACCACTTACCCCTTATCTGATGCAGTTAGGTCAAACCCAAACAGAACAGCAGGAACCTTGCTCTTCCTTTTCCTTGGGGTCTGGAGCCACAAGGCCCTTCAGTCCACTTTCATTGACACCGACCTGACTCCTCAGGGTAGAGATGAGGGACCCTTTCAAATACTTTCCCTTCTCCGAGTCTCAGTTTGTTCAACTAACTTTCATGAGGTTTTTTGTTGCAGTGATCTGATGAAGTATGAGTGGAAGTACTACATACATGCCCTAAAATGCTTTGTAGAATGACTTTTTCTTCTTTCACTTATTTCTTTAGGATCAAGATCAATATGAGTATTACTGAAAACTAGGTAATAAAATTTATCTTAAAATACTTCTGCCAGGGGTTGGGGTGAGGCGTTTCCCCCACACTGCATGGCCCCCCAAGTGCTTTCAGAGATGAGTTAAGTAGCTACACACAGTTGTTCTGCTTTATTTTTTAAAACATTTAACACTCTAATGCAATTGAAATTTCTTTAGATAAGTATTGACCTTAGTATCAATGCCGTTAGCATAGGATAAGTCAGATTTTTGTTGTTGTTATTTTTCTGGGGGAGCAGTCATACTTGGCAGTGCTGAGAGGCTATTGTTGACTTAGTGCTAAACTGTAGCTCCTGGCACTGTAGGGGTACCATGGGGTACCGGGATCAGTCAGGCATACTTCTGCATACTAAGCATGAACTCCAGCCCTCTGAGCTATCTCCTAAGTATAATAAATTAGAACTTAATTTTATTTCAAACATACGTGGAGTTTTCTAGATCTGTTCACTAAGTAATTTGTCCTCTCCCATCAAATTCTGTCATCTTCCTTAGTATATGGATAGGATATAAGCATATATAATAAATGTATATATATAAATGTATAAAGATATAAAGCATACTAAAATCCTTTTCAAGGCTTGTTTTTTTTCGTTATTGTTCTGTTCCATTATACTTTGTGTCCATCTTCATTCTATTATAAAGTACTTTCATTGTTAGAGTTATAAAAAAAGTTCTGATAGGTTAAATCTCATGATATCTTTCTTTTTTCTTTTTGGGTCACACCCAGCGTTGCACAGGGGTTACTCCTGGCTCTGTACTCAGGAATTACTCCTGGCAGTGCTTGGGAGGACCATATGGGATGCTGAGGATTGAACCCGTATCGGCCACATGCAAGGCAAACGCCCTACCGGTTGTACTATTGCTATGTCCTTGCCTCTTTTTTTAGTGCATATTATTTTTCAGTCATTGCTTAAAATTCCTTAGTCACTAGAAATGAATGATTTTGTACTGGCATTTTTTTCTTGTTTTATTTTCCTTTCCAAATACCTTTAGTTGGAGATTTGTTGTTGTTAACAAATTCTTCAATGTTGACAAAATCAGATTTGCTTGCTCCGGAAACTTTCCATTCTAGATTATTCCATTTGGCATTTTAATGAGACTGGAAGACAGGATATTTCTGTCCTTATTGGTGCCTCTTCTATCATCTAGAAGTTTCACATTGCAGTCCCAGAACCTACCTTATAAACTGTTATGTCACTGTGTGAAAATAGCCAATTCAATTTTCTTTGACTGTGATGTTTTTCTCCTATTGCAGGGGCTCCATTGTGACTTTGCTTGTCTGATATTTCATTACTTAGTGAATAAGCCTTCAGAAGAAAGGGTGAGGGAGATCATTGCTAATGCGGTTGAAATTGAACAGGTAAGTAGGGAAACATCTCTTATTAGCCCACGGCTCCCATGTCTATACCATTATTGGATTAGTTTGGCACAAATGATTTAGTGGTACAAAAATATGGTATCAGTTTTATGTGGTCAAGAATACAAAGGCAAAGGCTAGAGTGATAGTACAGTGGACAGGGCATTTGCCTTTCACACCACCAACCTGGGTTCCATCCCTGGCGCCCCTGAGCCTGCCAGGAATGTTCCCTGAATATAGAGTCAGGAGTGACCTCTGAGCATTGCTGGGTGTGCCCCCCTTCCCAAATAATACAAGGACAGCCCACAGACTGGGAAAAATTATTTGCCCACCACTCATCTGACAAAGGGTTAATATCCAAGATATATAAAGCACTGCTAAATCTTTGCAAGAAAAAAAATCCAACCCTATCAAAAAATATAGAATATCGTGGATCAAGTCTGGGTCAGCCGCATGCAAGGCTGACCCTCCCCATTGTATTATTTCTGGCTTTGCATATTGCTATCTTTAACTATCTTCAGAATCAAATCCAAATGGTTAAAATGTCTTGTATTTTCCTCTGTTGACATTTCATAACTGTCTTTCAGTGTAGATGGAATATTGGCTTATTCAGTTGATTTTCCAGCCCACAGACCCATTTGATTTTTTTCTCATTTTCTTCGTTACTTGAGTTTCCTCCCTGTGCCAACTCCCCTCAGTGGCCATGTTCCCACCAACAGTCATTCTACACCTCCCCCCCCTTTTTTTGGGCCACACTTGGCAATGCTCAGAGGTTACTCCCTGGCTCTGCAAGCAGGAATTACTCCTGGTGGTATTCAGGAGACCATATGGAATGCTAGCGATCAAAACCAAGTCGGCTGCATGCAATACTACTGCTATACTGCATATATATATACCCTAGCTGCTATACTACAATAGTCATCTTTTAATTTTTTTTATATTTTCACATTTTTTTAAGCAATCATCTTTGGTGAATTTATTTCTAGATATTTTGATAAAACCCTTTTTGTTTTGTTTTGTTTTCCTATCAAGGCAGTATTGAAAACATAGTGCCTAAAAGGAAAATAAAAAAGAGAGGAGAGAGAGAGAGAGAGAGAGAGAGAGAGAGAGAGAGAGAGAGAGAGAGAAGAAAAAGTTGTTTGCCATAGAGGCAGGCTGTGGGGCAGGGCGGGTGGGAGGGAAGCTGGGCCCACCCATTGGTGGCAGGAAATACGCACTGGGGAGAAGGGGCCGGATGTTGGAACACTGTATGACCGAAACCCAATCATGAACAACTTTGTAACCATCTCACAATGATTCAATAAATCAGAAAGAGGGAAAGAGCAAGCAAGCATGTGAATTTCTGTCCTCCGTGTGCAAAACTCCCAGTCTTGGCAGTTAGTCTCTTGGCATTTATTCGGGCCATTGGAGAATGGGTGATGGGGCGGGGTGGGTCCAACAGAGCCCCAGCAGCTGGCGCTCCTGCTCCAGCCCGAGCCGGGAGGTTTCTTCTGCCCGGAAGGGGCGGCGGGGCGGCGGGCGGAGGGCCCCGGGGCGGGCTGGGGCCTGGAGGAGGGGGCGGGGCGCGATGACACCGAGAGCCCTCCAATGGGCAGGCAGGCCACGGGGGCTCGGCCCGGCTGCCGGACTCCTCCTCGGGCGGGCGGGCGGGCCGGGGCGGTCCCCAGCACCGCAGACCCCGGGCCGCGACGCCGAGGACCGACCGCCCAGCGTGGGCGGGGCCCTGGGGGCTGCGAGCCGGCCCGCGCCCTCCCCCGGGAGCCTGGCGGAGTCTGCGCCATGGAAGGCCGCGCCGGGCGGGCCGGGGCCCGGACTGGGCCGCATCAGGTAAACGTCGGGGTGCCGCTCCCCCCTGGCCAGGCGAGAGTCCGCTGCGGTGCCGCCCGGCCTGGGACCCTCGCCGGAGCCCGGTCTGGGGGCTGCAGGCGTGCGGCACCGCCTTCCCGGGACCCGGGGCGAGGGGAGAAGCCGGCTTCTGCCCCCTTGCTCTGCTCCGGAGCGCGCCAAGGGCCACAGGGTGACGTTGTAGGATCCTCGGACCCTTTTCGGTGCGGATGACGCCGGGGGATGGGCAGCGGTGGGGAGGGGGCCTCTACGGGAGAAGCTGAAGGATGCGCGGCCCTGGGAAGGGACGCAGGTGGAAGGGCTGGCGACCGAGGACGGGAAACAGGAAGTACGAGGCTGAGAGCAGCTTTGCTCAGACCAGGCTCTTTCCTTTTTTCTTTGTTCCCCCTTTTTTGGGGGGGAGGCTCACACTCAGCGATGCTCAGGGGTTACTCCTGGTTATACACTCAGGAGTTACTCCTGGTGGTGCTCGGGGGACCGTATGGGATACTGCTTTTTTTGGGGGGGGGGGGCGCTCACCCAGAGATGCTCAGGGGTTACTCCTCGCTGTGAGTGCCGCCTGGCGGTGCTTGGGGGACCGTATGGGATGCTGGGGATGGAACCCAGGTCGGCCACTTGCAAGGCAAACACCCTACCAGCTGTACTGTTGCTCCAGCCCCCAGACCAGGCTATTTTTTTTTGTATTGTTTTGTTTTGGGGTCACACCCGGAGATGTACAGAGGTTACTCCTGCCTCTGCACTCAGGTATTACTCCTGGCAGTGCTCTGGGGACCATGTGGGATTCTGGGAATTGAACCCCGGTCTGTGGTGTGCAAGGCAAATGCCCTACCCACTGTGCTATTGCTCCAGCCCCAGAGACCAGGCTATTTTAACCATCTGTCGACTTTGCCTGTTTGCTTTGGAGTCACCTATGCCTGTGCTGAGGGGTTGCCTCTCTTCTTCCTCCCCCCCCCCCCCCCTCAGGATTAGCTCCTAGTGGCTCTAGGAGAACATAAAATGTCAGGAACTGAACCCGAACCTCCTACAGGCAAAGCACCCGTTGGTTGGGGGGGCTGTTCCAGTGGCCCCTACTGTGTATAAGATTATGTCATTTTTATATTGATATATGAAGTGTGAAGTGATCCTTCAGAGAATACGAAGAGTGCTTTATGCAAAGTGCCAAGTCATTTCTTTTTTTAAATTTTTTTTATTTTATAAGTTAGTTCACAATATTGGACTACATTTAATATTCAAACACCAATCCCATTACCATTACACCTTCCCACCACCAAATTTGGGATGTTTCCATCCCAAGCCCCAAGCCCTGTCCCAAAACACAACCGAAATAATATATTTTGTATTGTCTGTTATGAAGAACTGCTGAACATGCTTACCGAAAAGTGTTCATGTAGGAAACAGTGAGAAGATGGTTCTGTTTTGGCAGGAGCCACTAAGACATGCTATAGGCTATCACTAACATGTTGTTAAAGTTTGGGTGATGTGAACTTTGGTATATAGATCTGAAAACGTATATATGCATATATATATATTTCCCGCTATGATTTGTTGCCTACTGTCTGAACCCCATCAAATATGGTGTGGTAATTATGGAGAATGGGTAGGGAGTGTCTTACGATGTGTCCAGGAATACGTTCACTCATATGAAGCTCGGCCCTAGCGTGTAAGGACCAGCCGTGAGCGTGGCGGCGATTGGCTTCTGGAGATCAGCTGCCTGGGCTGGGTCCCTTGGGGTGGGGAGGGCTCTCACCCACCTCCCTCGGGGCGCCTTGAGTACAACAGCCTGGTGTGGAGTCCGGTGGCATGGCTATGGGGGCCTCATGTTGTGCTCCTTTCCGGGAGAAGCAGCCGTGTGATCTGGATGGTGGCTGATGACAAGATTATCTGGCGCCAGCAGGAGGTGGCTAATGGGAGTGACCCTGGGTCGCCAGAGACTGGGGGAAACTGGCAGAGGATCTCTGCTCCTGGGTGCCCTTGAGCCCACCAAGTCATTTCTGGGCACTTTATGAAAACATCAGTTAACATGTTTGTCTTCCTTGGCTTCCCTAATTAGTACAAGTATGTAATTTGGCAAATCCTTTATGTGTCTTTTGTTTTTTTGCTGGGGGCACATCTGGGGGGACAGGGAGGTGCCAGGGTTCAAATCTTGGGCTCCCAAGTCCTTTGAGCCATATCCCTCGCCCCTCAGAGACATTGAAACTATGTGTATAAGGGAAATACTTTTTGTATTTATATCAGACCCATTTCGGTGTTTGGTGTGCCGATTTAGTAGTTGCAGCTCAGAATGGCTCATGCTTGTCCCTAAATTTCTTTATAGTCTTGTAGATTTCGGATTTTATTTTTATTATGTACACATTTGTTAAATAACAATTGGTAACCATCCAGCTCCTTTAGTTTTTTGGGAGGGGAAGGGGCTTGGGACCATGCCCAGTGTTGCTCAGGGTTTTCTCCAGACTCTGTGCTCAGGGATCATGCCTGGTTGAGCTTGGGGACCAGAGGTGCTGGGGGTTCAGTCCAAATTGGCTGTGTGCAAGGCAAGCATCCTGCCCACTGTACTCTCTCTTTTTAACTCTAGAAGTTAAAAAGCCAACTTCTGTAGCTTTTTCACAAATATATTTCTTACCAAGTCCCAGTATGGGACAGTTTCAGATATTTCTTCATATGCTAATTAGCAGCAGCTGGGTCAGCAGTCATTCAGACTTAAGACCTGGAGGTTCAGTTCACTTGCCATCCCGTATATCAGTAACACAGTCCACAGATAGAAGCAGAATTTTTAGATCTAGAATGAATTTGAGTGATCATCTGATCAAAGGGATGGGGGGGGGGGGGTGGCGTGCTCGTTTCTTTCTTTGGTTTGGATTGGTTGGGTTGGGTTGGGTTGGGTTTGTAGGACATACCTAGTTGTTGTCAGGGCTTACTCTGGGCCCTGCACACAGAGATGCAGGGACTGTATGGGGTGCCAGGTATTGAAGCTGGGGTTGGCGCTGTGCAAGGCAGGCATCTTTCTTCCTGTACTAGCTCTGTGGATCTGATCCAAAAGTTTTTCACTTTGAGGCACAAGGATGCTGTTGACACCTTGTTTCTTTCGATGCTTGCTTCTGTAATTGTGGGTCATGATCCCATAGGAAATTGTGAAAAGTTGGTCAGTAGTGAAAGGGTTTTTGAATACACCAAGGCTACAAATTAGTTAAAGAGCAGCCTTAAAGTGAACCTGAGGTATTTCTGGCACTTTGTAGCATTTCAAAAGGGGCATCTCCTCAGGAGTGTAAAAAGTTTCAGGAGCCTGCACCATATAACAGGGTGCAGTGCTGCCACCTGAGTCAGAAACAACTCTAGTGCTTTGTTAAAAAGGTCAGGTATTGGTGCTGGAGTGATAGCACAGATTGGGCGTTTGCCTTGCACGTGGCCGACCCGAGTTAGATTCCCAGCATACCATATGGTCCCCCGAGCACCCCCAGGAGCGATTCCTAAATGTGTAAGCCAGGAGTAACCCCTGTGCATTGCCGGGTATGACCCAAAAAGCAAAAATAATAATGATAATAATAATAAAAAGGTCAGTTATTGAGCCAGGGGTGTGCTCAGCGGTAGAGGACATACTTGCCTCGAATGTGTAAGGCCCTGGGTCGGATCCCTGGCACTGCAAAACAAGAAAGAAAAAGTGCATTTCTGAACCCAAACCCCAGACTAAGTAGATCAAATTCTCCTGAAATGGACATTTTTTGGTGGGAGAGGGTTGGTGGTTCAGGCCATACCTGATTGTGCTCAGGGATTGTTCCTGCATTTCTGACAGTGCTTAGCTGATTGTATGCAGTGTTGGACTTGGAACTGGAGCCTGTTGTGTGCAAGATAAGTGCCTTACCCCAGTTCTCTCTGTCACTGTCTCTGTCTCTGTCTCTGTGTCTCTGTCTCTGTATCTCTCTCTCTCTCTCTCTCTCTCTCTCTCCCTCTCTCTCTCTCTCTCTCCTCCCACTCTCTGGTTTCTCTCTCTGGTGTCTCTGTCTCTGTCTCTGTCTGTCTGTCTGTCTGTCTCTCTCTCTCTCTCTTGTCTCCTCTCTCTTCTTTCTCTTCCCCCTACCCCCAAGATGGTCATTTTTATCAAGCAGTTTACAAATATTGGAAGAAGAAACTATCTTAAAGGGCATGCAGCGGAAGTTAATGAAACTTTTGAAGTTTGTAGGGTTTAAATGTGCTGCAGGAGTCTTCTGAGGAAAGGGTCCTTCCACTGCTTGTGTGCGTTTCTCAAAGTTACATGTTGTTTATTTGATTAGTAGTCCCATTTTCTTTCTTCTTCTTTTGGGTTTTTGTTTGTTTAGTTTGGGGGCCACACCCAACTGTGCTCAGGGATCACTCCTGGCAGGACATGGAGGACCATATAAGGTGCTGGGGATTGCACCCAGGTTGGCTGCATGCAAGGCAAGCATCCTGCCCGCTGTATTATGGCTCGTGCCCTTCAGCCTGGCTTTTGAAAGGACTATACAAATGCCAGCTTTTCCCAAGGTTACTCACTGCCTTCACCTTTGAGAAGAATTTCTAGATGTTGTCATCATCCTCTTCCTGAGCATGAAGAAACACCCTTCCCAGTGGAATTTCCTTTATACATCTTAGTTGCCTTCCCAGTCGTTTGCAAACCTCCCCCCACCAAGGTAATTTTTTTTTTTTTTTTTTTTTTTTTTTTTGCTTTTTGAGTCACACCCGGCGATGCTCAAGGGTTTCTCCTGGCTCATGCATTCAGGAATTGCTCCTGGCGGTGCTCGGGGGACCATATGGGATGCTGGGAATCAAACCTGTGTCGTCCATGTTGGCTGCGTACAAGGCAAACGCCCTACCTGCTGTGCTATAGCTCCAGCCCCGGTAATTCTTAACTTCCAGGCTGGACCCTTTCCAGAATTCCCCTCTGTCCCTTCTGCATACTCATGTTGGTAGCCTGCCAGTATCTTCAGCCATCTCAGCCTCCCACTTCAGTTTCTATTCTAGCTCCTCTTTTTCCAGCTACACTGTATTTATTGGTTTTGGGGGATCACACCTGGTGGGGCTCAGGGGATTGTTGGTCAGGGGTTGTTCTCCTGGAAGTACTCATGTTGTTGGGGATTGAGCCCAGGGATCCAGCATGCAGAGAATGCACCCCAGTCCATTCAGCTGCCTCTCTGGCCCCCAACTGCCCTTTACAAATGGGATTTCTTGGGAGAGAGAGAGAGAGAGAGAGAGAGAGAGAGAGAGAGAGAGAGAGTGTACAGGGGTGTAAGGCACTTGCTTTGCATGTGGCAGACGCTGGTTCGATCCTTAGCACTGTGTATAATCCTCCCAGCACAACCAGGAGTGATTCCTGGTCACAGAACCAGGAACAGGCCTTGAGCACAGCCGGTGTGGTTCACACCCCAAAACAAAACACAAGAAAAAGTCAAAGTAAATCTGGACTTTTGGTAGGCTGTATTCGTGCTTGTGCTGGCCGTATGTTCTCCTGTCTGAACATGTTCCTCCCTTATGGGCACTGCTAGTTGGATCTCCACCACCCTCTGACGTGATGTCCTATTTCCAGCTGCCTACTGGTTGTCATGAAACTCAACCTGATAAGGTTTAAATTTTGTTTCGTTTTGGGATAATACCCATTGATGCTCAGGGTTTATTCAGGGATCACTCCTGGAGAGGCTTGGGGGCACAACAGTTAAATCAGTATTGACTGTGTGCAAGGCACTGTCTTACTCAGTGTCTTGTCTCTCCGTCTAATTTCTCTTCTAATCTAACCACTTTTCTTTTTTTGAAAAAGGAAAGAAAGAAAGGGAAAAAATCCTATGCCCTGGAAATATAGACTCATACTCAGGTGGTTTCCTTTATGTACATTAGAAGACATTTCTGTGATGTTGTTATTTTAGGAGTGAACTTACCTGTGTGTGTGCTGGGGCTGGGGGTGACTGTGCCGGGATGGAACCCAGGATTGTACTCTTCTGTCACTCCACCTTCTACCACTGAGCCACATCCTTGGCCAAAAGTTGTGTTTTTTACTCTCTGTGTGATGTTCCATAGATCAGAGTTCTTCAGAGCACATTTTGGAAGTGATTTCTGCTATTTTTCCTGATCTTTGTCTCCTTCCATATCTCACCCATACCATAAAGTCCAGACTTAGAAAGTTACTTATAGGGGTCAGAGCGGTAGTACAGCAGGTAGGGTGTTTGTCTTACATGCAGGTGACCTGGGTTTAATCCCTGGCATCCCATATGGTCCCCTGAGCACTGCCAGGAGTAATTCCTGAGTGCAGAGCCAGGAGTAAACCTTGAGCATTGCTGGGTGTCACCCAAAAAACAAACAAACAAACAAAAAGTTGTGGTTCTTCACAGTATTCTAAAACAGCTTTAGACCTTTGCTCAGGTCTGCTGAGGGTTCCCTGCACATCCCAGGATCTTTCGGCACCCAACCCTGGCATTGTACTGAAATCTTTGTGAATTTTTCTTTGCATGATGAAAATAAGGACTGTGAGCCAGAGTGATAAGTACAGTGGGCAGGGTACTCGCCTTGAATGTAGCTAACCTGGGTTTGATCCCTGTATTCCATATGTCCCTCAAGCCTAGCAGGAGTGACTTCAGCACAGCTGGGTGCAGACACACACACACACACACACACACACACACACACACACACTCCTCCAAATAAATAAAAGGGTGGGGTGGGGAGAATCAATGTGTCCTTGCTGGCCTAATTCAAAGATTTATGCTAGTTAAGCCCCTTCTTTCCACTCTGCTGAAACTTTCATAATGCCTTCCTAATCATGCTGCTTCTCTTGACAAGCTGCGTATTATCAAGATGGAGCAGGCAGAGGTATGTACAAATGTGACTTTCATTCGAATTTAAAAGTACTTGTCTTCCATAGTTTTCATAGATCCTTGCTATGAACAGGCATTTCTTACCATTACAAAACTCCATTGAGGGCCAGAGAGGTAGTTAGTGGGTAGATGGATAGTATACCTCGTATGCAGCCAATCTCGGTTTGATTCCCTGCACCAGATATGGTCCCCCAAACCCTCCCAGGAGTGATCCCTGAGGTCAGAGTCAGTAGTATGCCCTGATTATCACTAGATATGGTCCAGAAACCATATGGAGTGCCAGGAATTGAATCTGGGTCAGCCATATGCAAGGCAAGCACCTTATTTGCTGTACTGTCTTTCCAGCCCCACTCTCTGACCCTCATCCTGTTGAAATAAAAGAGGTGGCATTTTCATCTGCTCGGGGATTGCTGGGGACATTGTCCCAAGCATATGTAAGTAGGTCTGTGCTTGTCATGTTTTTCCCCAGGCCGTTGAGACTGTTGGGGATGAACGCAGGTGCATAAGAAGAAGAGTTAAGATGGGCAGGTGGAGGCATTGTATGCAGTGAGCTATCACGAACAGTATTGGAAACCATAGTACCACAGTAAAACATAGGGAGGTGAAAGGTTGACTTATGGGGAGGTTCTGATGAAAATCAGCTGAGTTGCTGGTAAGTATTATTTTCCATTAAAATTTGAGAAGAAGGCATTATAGTGAAAAAGCAGTTTGACTATATCTATATCTATATACCTCATGCAAAAAAATTCAAAGTGGATCAAAGACTTTGAGATCTGTCTGACCAGAAACATCAACTTTATACATCCTTAGTGTAGAAAGTACACTGAAGAAGATATGGACAGAACACTTCAAGATTTCGACCTCAAAGTTGCCTTTAGTGATCTGATACCACTGGTAAAGGCAACAAAATAAAAAACAAATGGGACTACATAAAATTTAAGAAGTTCTGCATGGAAAAGAAAAGCATGGGTTAAAACTAAAAGACATTTGTTGGCCAGAGCGATGGCATAGTGGGTAGGGTGTTTGCCTTGCATGCGGCTGACTCAGTTCAAGCCCCAGCATCTCATATAGTCCCCTGACTACTGCCTGGAGTAATTCCTGAGTGCAGAGTTAGGAGTTATCTCTGAGCATTGCCAGGTGTGGCCACAAACAAACAAAACCCAAAATAACACCCAAAAGACAGCTAAATGAATTGGAAAAAATATTTGCATTCAACACATCAGATAAAAGTTTTATATACAGGATGTATGAAGTACTCACAAAATACAACAAACAACAAAATTCAACACCCAATAAATGGGGAGAAGAAATGAATAAACACTTCTCAGAGGAAGGCAGGCAGATGGCCAGTAGGTACATGAAAAAATGCCCAGCATCACTTATTATCAGAGAGATCCATGTCAAGACTACGATGAGATACCATCTCACACTAGTGAGAATGACATATATCAAAATAGTAGGAACAATCTGTGTTGGCGGGGATATGGTGAAAAAGAAACTCTTATTCATTGCTGGTGGGAATGTTGGAATGTTGTCTGGTACAACCCCTGTGGAAAATAGTATGGAGAGTTCACAATAAACAGAATTGAATTATCTTATGATCTAGCAATTACGCTCTTCGGCATCTATGTCCAGGACATAAAAAACTCTCTCAAAAGGACACATGCACACCACTATTCATTTCCGCACTCAGTACAACAGCTAAGATATGGAATCAGCCTAAGTGTCCAAAAATAGATGAATGGATTATGAAAATATGGTATATATATGCAATGGAATATTATACAGCTGCAAGGAACTATGAACTCATGCAATTTCTTGCAACATGGTTGGAACTGGAAGATATCACGTTGAGGACAGTAAGCCAGAAGAAGAAAGACAGACACAGGATGGTCCCACTTATCTGTGGAATACTGGATGAGAAAATGCATTGTAGTAAAGGTGGGGAGGCCTCGATCACCCTTGACCCAGTGTTTAGAGGAAAGAAATCTAGGGGGTAGGGGGAGAAGAGAACGAGAAGTAACGGGTGAACGGGCTTCAGGGCGTCAGTGATCCCAGTGCTGTGAGTGAGGGCTCTGGCCATAGACCCAAAGCAGATTCAGCGGAACTGAAAGCATGAGACCCAAGCAACAAGCACCGGACCTTTGTAATGAGCCTGTCAAGGTGACAGGCAGGGGTGGAACAGTGGCTGGGGCAGGAAGGGAGTCTGGGAGCACTGGTGGAGGAAGTCGATGCTGGTGGAAGAATTGGTGTTGCATTTTTGTGTGCCTGAAGTGCAACTCTCAGTGGCTTTATACGTCATGGCTCTTTGATGAAATTTTTTTTAAAAGGTAAAAAATGCTCGAAGCAGAGCCATTCTGTGCCGGTGTCGTCTTCAGGAGAGGCTGGGGAGCTTTCGACTATGGACTTGGAAACTTACCCACCCTTATCTGTTCTTTTACTAATGAGCCTCAGCAAAGTTCAATAACTGCCTCTGGCCACCCCATGAATCAGTCACAGTCCCTCTTATGGGCAACACAAAGAATTCTTGGTGGGCTGACTGGCTCCGCCACATGGGCACGTAGATCGTACAGGGGGCAGGGTTGTAGCAGGCATTCACTCAGTCAAGAGCACCAGAACAATCTATGGTGAGTGAACAAGGAGATTTTTATTCTGGTGAGCTGGGTCCAGACAGCAAGGGTGTCTGAGAACATCCGCAGGAAGCAGTGACCTCACAAGCACTTTTATGGGACATTATTGCAAATTCAGCATTAGTCTGCTTCATACTGAGACATTGTGAGGGGGTGTGCATGTATCGTGACATCTGAGCAGCTTGGCTATAGGGGGAGTTTCCTAAAATCTGCATCTTCTTGATAGAACTGGGAAGTTCATCCCAAGTGCAGACAAGGGTGGGCATCTTCAAAATTTTCCACCCACAAGTTCAAAGCATACCTGTGTATAAGTTATAAATCAATATCAAATCAAAGGTGCATATCCTACGTGTTCCTCATAGCTAGGAATAAAGAGCAGATGTGGCAGTGAGGTGGGTGTCTGTTCTTTCTGATCCACAGAGGCTCTCTGCAGACGCTGATGAAGGTGAAGCCAAGGCAGGTGAAGAGCCGCTCCTGAGGAAGAGTTCTCAGCGGTTTGTCATCTTTCCCATCCAGTATCCTGATATCTGGAGAATGTATAAGCAGGCCCAGGCGTCCTTCTGGACTGCAGAAGAGGTAAGTACCGTCAGCTTCACAGGCGTGCTTGTTGGGCAAACGGCCATTGGAAAGTCTTTGTTTATCTCGTAAGATACAGGGACAAGAATGAGCTGATGCTCACTGCCAAGACTAACACAGAGCTCTGAAGGGTTTGGGGATCAGGTGGCTTTCTAGAAACACAGACCAAAAAAATAACCCAAAACAGCACCTCCCTGGACCAGATTTTTAGATCCAGTGTATTTCAGCGCGTTTCTTCTTTATTTATTTTTTTTTTTGCTTTTGGGGTCACACCCGGCGATGCACAGGGGTTACTCCTGGCTCTGCACTCAGGAGTTACCCCTGGCGGTGCTCAGGGGACCATATGGGATGCCGGGAATCGAACCCGGGTTGGCCGTGTGCAAGGCAAACGTCCTACCTGCTGTGCTATCTCTCCAGACTTGGTGTGCAGTGGCCAGCCCAGTGGTTAGATGGCAGCTGTAGCCCCCAGTCCCTCCCCGACCCCCCAAACGAGAGCAGACTTTTTCCAGCCCTGCTTTCACTTGAGAGAAGAACCTGAACGGCAGCAGGGAGCCGAAATACTCCCTCCCCAGAGCCCGCCCGCTGCATCCGCCATGCCCCTGCTCCTTCCCCAGCCTGGCACAGCTGCCCCAAGACACGAATAGCTGCAGAGGGATTCTGTTGACCTGATGTTTGCCTAGCAGGAAATGAGTTGAGCACAACAAATGAGAAATAGCATGTCTGTTTGATAGGCTAAGTTGGCCATGCATGCAACTGCACTGTGGTCTAACTGAAACCCGAAGGCACGGTCTTTTTCTTTGAAGGTGATGTTTGCCACCTGCCAGAGCATTCTCGTCCTGGTGTGTCTTCCATCTGTCTAGATGCCTCTATCATCTGGATCCACCTCCTCACAAAGAAGTTTCACTCCTGCCCCAGCCAAACTGCTCAGCTCTGCCCTAATTTTAGTCAAGCTGGGAAAGTTGCTTGGTCTCTCTGCGGGTCTGGGACGGGACTGGGACCGGGGCCGACGGGCTTTAATAGGATTCACTGGGACACTCAAGGATTAGTGAGATATTCTGAATGTTATGCCCTACCCACTCCAGCCCCTATAGTTTATTTTTGCTATTTTATTTGGTGTTTTTTGGTATGGGTGTCATACATGTGAAACATGAATTCTATCCCTGACCCAGGCATTATTGGTTTTCCCAATGATTTTTTGTTGTTGTTGGTTTTGTTCTTGCTATGTTTTTATTTTTGGGCCATACCTGGGTATGCCTAGCACTTATTCCTGGTTCCTCAGTCAGAGATCACTCATGGCAATGCTTGGGGGACCGTATGTGGTAACAGGCAGTGCCTTACCTGCTGTATTATCTCTCTAGCCAAAATTAAACATATTTTTAAAAACTTTTTAATTGAATCACTGTGAGATAGACCCATACAAAGATGTTCATGATTGAATTTCAGTCTTATAGTTATTCCAACACCCATCCCTCCACCAGTGCACATTTCCCAGCACCCGTGTCCCCAGGGTCCGTCCCATCACCCCTCACCCCACCCTACACACACCCTCTACCTGCCTCTATAGCAGGCGCTTTTCTTCTCTGTCTCTGTCTCTGTCTCTCTTTCTCTCTCCCCCCCACCCCCACCCCCACCCCCAGCCATTTGGCGCATTGTGGTTTGCAATTTTGATACCAAAAGGTTACAAAGAATATCCCTTGACCTGCTTTCAACCCTCAGATCTTGTCCAGCATGGTCATTCCCAGCTATTATTATTCTACCGGTTTCTTCTCTCTCTTATCTACCTTCAGCCCCCCACACACTTGTGGTTAGTTCCAACTATTGACTAGTCCTCCTAACCCTGTTTTCCCTGGCCATGGATGTTAGTCTTCTACTATATACATTTTAATATACTACAAATGAAGGCAGTCATTCTCTGTCTGTCCCTCTCCTGACTCATTTCACTCATGATACTCTCCATGTCCATCCATTTATAGGCAAATTTCATGACTTCATTTTTACTAACAGCTGCATAGTATTCCATTGTGTAGAGGTGCCATAGTTTATCTATTTGTCTGTTCTTGGGCACTCAGTTTGTTCCCAGATTCTGACTATGGTGACTGGTGCTGCAATGAACATAGGAATGCAGATGGTGTTTCTGCTGTGTTTTTGGGCCCCAGGGTATATTCTCAGAAGTGGTATTGCTGGGTCAAATGGGAGCTCAGTTTCTAGTTTTTTGAGAAATGTCCACATTGTTTTCCAAAACAGCTAGACCGGTAGGCATTCCCCCCAACAGTGAAGGACCAGTCGGCATTCTCCCCACATCCATGCCAACATTCATTGCTTTTGTTCTTTTGGATGTAGAATTGAACATATTTTAATGGACCAGTCTCCTAGCCATCCATTCTTGTGCCTTATTTGGTCTTCTTTGGACAAGTGCCTATTCAAATCTTTTGCCCGTTTTTGAATTGGGTTATTTGGTGATGGTGGTGTTGAGTTGTGTGAAGTGAGTTCTTTATATATCTGTATATATATCTGTATATATACTTTTTTTTTTTCCCCTCCCATTGATCGTCGATTTGCTCGAGCGGGCCCAGTAACGTCTCCATTGGAGACTTTGTTGTTACTGTGTCTGGCATATCGAATACTCTCGGTAGCTTGCCGGGCTCTCCGAGAGGGGCGGAGGAATCGAACTCGGGTCGGCCATGTTGGCCGCTTGTAAGGCGAACGCCCTACCCGCTGTGCTACATACACATGTTTATATATGTATGTATATTTTTGTTTATTTGTTGTTTTTTGGGTCACATATGGCAGTGCTCAGGATTACTCCTGATGGTGCTTGGGGGACCATATGGGTTGCCGAAGATTTATCCTGGGTTGGCCGCAATCAAGTTAAGTACCCTGCCTGCAGTACTACTTCTCCAGCCCAAGTTCCTTAAATGTTTTTTGATTAACCCCCTCATCTGATAAATGATATGAAATAGCTTCTTCTTCATCAGCAGATTTGCTTTTTCATTTTTGTGTTCTTTCTTTGTAAACATACACAAATCAAAACATAAATGCAAACAAAATCTTTTCCAGTCAGTGCAGTCACATTTATCTATTTTTTCTTTTATTTCCTTTGCTGTTGGTATTGAGTTCCCAAAGATATCTCTGCAGTAGATGATTATATTACCTATTTTTTTCCTATGTATTTTATGGTTTCAGGCTTCAAGATTGTTTTTCATATTGCGCATCCCATAAATCCTAGAATATCCCTCTTTAAAAATTAATTCTGGTAAAAATTTTCAAAAAAATTTCTTAAAAGGCTGATTTTTATGCCGTGTTTAAAAACCCAGTTTGTAGGACCTGAGAGATTATACAGGCGTAAGGTGGTTGCGAGTTTAAAATATGGTCCCCAAGTCACTGCCAAGAGTCAGTCTTGAGTGCAGAGCCAGGAGTAGCTCCTGAACATCACCAGGTGTGGCCCAAATCTCCTCACCCCACCCACCAAAAATCCCTCCAGTTGTTACATTTTTGACATTCTGGGTATGAGCAGATTAACTGGCGGTAATGTAAAGTGGTAGTTTAAACAATTGCTTGCCAGGTATCTAATTATCTTATACTATAGTAACTAAAGTTTGCTGCAGGTTGACTTTAGGTTGACCTTGCGACCACTCACTAACAGCAAGTCTCACAATGGAGACGTTACTGGTGCCCTCTCAAGCAAATTGATGAACAATGGGAGGACAGTGCTATAATAAATATTGCAAAAGGTGATAACAGTTACTGCTGAGAGTAACTATTTATTAATCTTGTTCTTTTTTTTGAGATATGAAATTTTGGAAGCATATAAATTTTCAGTCTATAGCAATAATGTTAACAGTTTTTACTTTTTCACATTTTATTTGTAACAGGATGTACCTCCTTAACTTTGAAAGAAAGTTTGTTTTCCCAGCATTTGGAAAAGGTTTTAGCCCCAGGGTAAAATTTTTGAAAATTTTATTTCAGGTTGACTTATCAAAGGATCTCCCTCACTGGAATAAGCTTAAATCAGAGGAGAAGCATTTCATCTCTAACATCTTAGCCTTTTTTGCAGCCAGTGATGGAATTGTGAATGAAAACCTGGTAAGAGTTTTGCTTCGTTTTCTTTGTGTTCCCACCTAGGAGTTCAGGGATGAAAGTGGCAGGGACATCGTGAGACTGAGCCTGAAAAGTGATGTCTAGGAAATGAATTTGATGAAGCTTACCCATTGAAAATGAAAGTTTGATGAAGTGTCAGAGGAAAAAATATACTGCTGTTCTTTAACTAGCAAAATATCCAGAGATCAAGCTTATAATATCAAAACTATTGCCAGTGCACAGACAGGGGTTATTTTGGTTTCGTTTTGGGTTTTGTTTTTGGCCCACACCTGGCAATGCTCAGAGCTTACTCCTGGCTCCCCACTTAGGGGTCACTTCTGGCAGGCTTGGGGAACCATATGGAATACCAGGGATCAAACCTGGGGCAAGGCAAGCCTCCTCCTGTGCTGCACGGTATCTCTGGCCCTGAGTTTGATTTCTTTTACCCTAAGATATTAATCCTAATTGGAGAACCTGCACTTTCATAACCCTCTGGAGCTCTGTAGCAGAGCACTGGGTCATGGCTTCCCAATTTAAACCTTGCAGATGATTAGTCAGGAGAACTGCTTTCTAGCTAAACAGAATGCAAAGAATCCGTTCGAGCACTCATGAGTTGAAAGGGGCATCAGTAGATCCACATCTACTGTAGCAAAGTGATGATTTAAAAGCGAGTTCTACAAAATGGCTCATTTTTGGTCTATATTCTGAGTTTATTAGGCATCCTAATCATGATCTCCACTTCTTAGGTCAATTAATTAAATATCTTAACAATATAGCATGCAACAAGTTTGGCGTGGAAGTTTGGTAGATAAAAGTACTTGTTAAATGACCCGTTATGTCTCTCTCATCTATTGTGGCATGACAGGAAATTTTTTTCATGGAGTCAGGGAAGGGGCCACCACTTGGCTGTGCTGTGATGCAAGCTTACTTCTGGCTCTGTGCTCAGAGGTCACCCATGGGTCACTCCAGGCAGGTCTGGCCACATGCGGTGCCGAGAATCAGACCAGGCTCAGCTGAATGCAAAGCAAGTGTCCTACTCCCTGTAAGTGCCTTTTTCCGGCCCATGGCAGGCAGTTTTAAAATGATAGTTCTGATGTCCAGATTCTGACTTGCAGTGCTTAATGAGAACTCATAGAATTAGATCTTTTTCCCCTTATTTTCTAGGTGGAGCGTTTTAGCCAGGAGGTACAGGTTCCAGAAGCTCGCTGTTTCTATGGCTTTCAAATTGTCATCGAGAATGTTCATTCAGAGATGTACAGTTTGCTAATAGACACTTACATCAGAGATCCCAAGGAAAGGTATTGCGTGTAGTATTTTATTTTCAGAGGTTTATTCATTTCTTAATTATGTTAAGAGCAAGATTTGTTCCATAATAAAAGTATGGGAGTTTAGGAGAATAATATTTTTCTTATTAATATGTCAGATTAAAAAAATGAATAGAATTTTTTGTGGGGTACATCCTATTTAGCAGTTCAGTTTTCAAGTTTAGTCATTTTGGGGGCCAGAGCATTTGCCTTGCATACAGCCAACCCAGGTTCATTTCCTGGCACTCCATATGGTCTCCTGAGCACCACTAGGAGTAATTCCTGAGAGCCAGGAATAACCCCTAAACATTGTTGGGTAGGACCCAAAAAACAAAAAAATCAAATCTAGTCATTTTTTTTAATCAGACTATATCTAAACCATAAATTTTAGTTTACTTTCTTTTTTATATGTCTATTCCAATTTTGAGAAATGCAAAAAAATGCATACCAGAGAGTTTATTCTCCCTGATTGGTCTATAAAAATTTATTTCAGTTAAGAAAAATAAGTGAGGGCTGGAGAGATAGTACCATGGGTGGTAAGGCACTTGCCTTGCATGCGGGCAACCCAGGTTCAATCCCTGGCACCCCTGAGCACTTGGTCCCCTGAGCACTGCCAGGAATGATTCCTGAGTGCTGAGCCAGGAGTAACCCCTGAGTAGTGTGACCCAAAAGCAGCGTGACCCAGAAACTAAAATAAAATAAAAAGAAAGAAAAGAAAAAATAACTGTCGTTCATTCTTTTGTTCATACAGGGAATTTCTATTTAATGCAATTGAAACAATGCCTTATGTTAAGAAAAAGGCAGACTGGGCCTTGCGGTGGATAGCAGACAGAGAGTCTACTTTTGGTACGTATTTTCGTTGCCAGGAGCAGTCGGCCTCATAATCTGAGACTGTTGTATGGTGTGACTCTCGGGTACCAATCAAAGTTAAGGAACAGGAGAGACCAGCAGACATCCTGGTGTGTGCCTTTAGCAGAACTGTGATTTCTAATAATTAGAAGCTCGTGACAAAAGCATCTCAAGCTGTTGTCTGTTTTAATAAGTTGAAACTTGAAAGGTGGAAGTCTCAATGCACAGTTCCAGGTAAGAGCTAGTGACATAAAATATGATGAGATGAAACTGGGACTAGTCTGTTTTTGCTTTCAGGAATGTTTATTTTAGAGATTTTTTTTCTGGGGCTGTGGGGGATATCCAGGAATGGATATTTGGGCTATATCCAGGAGTGCTTCACGAGTACTCATCCCTATACTCACCCCATACTGCCTCACCCCTATACCACTGTTAAGCCCAGGATTATGGGTTCCCAAGCGGCGAGATAGACAGAAACACTAACTCGATAATGCAAAAGCAGTAGGAGTTTTAATCCAGTACCGTGGGGTCAACTATCTCACCCACAGAGTGGTCTCTTGATAGCGACCCCGACTTCAGGCAGCAAGCAGTTTATATAGGGTTTGATTCCATAAGTAATACATGCTTTATTGTTTCAGAAAAGAATCTTACTTTGTAACCAAACAAAGGTATTTTGGCAAGTGTCTGGGGTAACAGTGGTTAGGCAACAATTAAACAATAATTTTCAGTATCAGTACTAATTTTAGATTACATAGACTTCTCATTCTTTTAGGGTTAACAAAAAAGCAACTTCTGGGGCATTGTGAGAACTGATTAATTGAGCCCACTTGCTGAGCCCAGAAACTTTCCCAGGTGGGTTCAGGTTGGCTAGTTACACATTGTTTGATTGCTGGGAAATTGAAACTGTTTTAGTTCCCATAACTGAACCCGAGGCCTAGCTGATTTTGCTTATTTCTGCCGCCTGTCATGGCGTCAGTTTCACCCTTACACTACCTCTCTAGCTGTCTCTTTATTGTGTTTTAATGTTTATTGGGATTTGTACCCAGCAGTGCTCAGAGCTTGATTCTGACTTTTCTCAGGGATGCGACTCCTGGCTGGGCTCGGGACCATAAGGGGTGCTGAGGATTAACCTCCATCAGCTGCGTGCAACACAGGCCCCCTTCCCACTGTACCATCTCTCCAGGCCCTCTGGCTGTATTTAGAGGGATTAAAAGTTAAAGCCCACATGTTTCAGGGAACAAATATGGAGTTTCTAAAGAAGTAAGATTAAAAAGGGCTGACCCGATGATGCCGGAAGTAAAGGACTTGCCTTGTCTGCAGCTGCTGTGGCTCTACTCCTAGTTCAAATCCCTGGCACTACCTAAGGCCCCCAGAGCACAGGGCCAGGAATATATACCCTGAGCACCACTGGGCGTGTCTCAGTCCCACCTCCCTAAAAGATTAGGATTAGTGACTTGGGGCCAGAGCTAGAGTTCTGTGGGGAGGGCACTGTCCTTGCACGTGGCCAACCTGGCCTTGATCCCTGGCATCCCATTATAGTCTTCCAAGCACCACCCAGTATGGGCCTCCCCCCACCAAAAAAAAAATCAAAAACAGAATAAAAAGAATAGTATTCTTTTTTTTTTTTTTGAGTCGCTATGGGAAAAGTTACAAAGTTTTCAGGTTTAGGTCTTGGTCATGCAAATATTAATCACATTTCCCTTTACCAATACTTATTTTTCAACACAAAGAACCCCAATAAGCCCCCACCCCCCACCCCCCCAATGTCTGTGGGGCAGATGAATTCTAGTTAACACTCTGTCTACTTTGACTAGCTTCATTGTTTCGATAAAAGTCGCACCATTATTATTTAGACTTTACCCCCACCCCCCCAAATCAGCCATGCTGAAAAAGCATTGTGAAATGATTTGCTTTCTACAGCTGGGTTCAAGAATTAAATGATGGTTTTGGATTTCTGCTATTTTACTGATTAACCCTGGAAGTATTTCTACTGAGAGTCAGATAATTAAGAGATTGGTTTCTGTGCTTCTGGGGCCGTGGCCGTGCCGGAGAGCCGCTCGTGGGGGGCAACTGGTGACCTCGGTCGGGCGTGAAGGACGGGCCGGAACGCCCCTCCCCCCGCCACCCCTTCCCATGAGGTATCCGTCACACCCCCCACCCCCGGCTCAGACCTGCTCTCCACAAGGCTCCCATGCGGCCGCCATCTTTCTTTCCAGAGAGGAGAGGGCGGACAAGAATAATATTCTTAACTAGGGCAAGAAATAGTTTACAACAGCAGTTATATTTTTTATAGATCAATACAGACTGCTTTATAGGTGAGTTAAAATCCAATAACATTTGGGTGTGACCCCCAAACGCCACCCCCCAAAAAAAATCCAGACGCTGTTCATAAATGTAGTTTGAAAGGGGAGGAGGAACCAGAGAGAGCTCAGGGGATTGAGCATGTGCTTAGCATGCAGGAGGCCCAGGCTTAAGCCACACAGGCCACCACCAGCAGGAATGACCCCGAAGCACAGAGCCTGGGGCAACCCCTGAGTCCTGCCAGATGTAAACCAAAATCAAAAAAGAAGGAAGAGAAGGAAGGAGTATGAGCTTTATTTATTTTCTGGTTTTTGAGGCCACACCTTGCAGAGCTCAGCGCTTACTCCTGACTCTGCTGAAGGATCACATCTGGTGGGGTTCAGGGAACCATGTGTGGCTCCAGAGATCAAACTAGTGTCACACGTGTTCGTGGCAAGTGCCGCAAACCCTGTACTATCTGCCCTGCCCCGCACCCTGTTTGTGTTGGAATCGCAGATTCCTGGCAGTGCCTTTGGAGTTGCTCATGCAGCCGAGCTGTAAGATCACCCAGGTTTCTATCTGTGCCAACCCCCCAGCACATTTGTCCTACATCTGTCTGCTGCTCCCACCCCACACACATGAAGGGGAGCCAGCTCATTGCTGAGGCTCAAAGGTTCTCTTGGTCCCTGGCCGGCCAGTATCTGGCAGGGGTTGGAAGTAGCCATAACTCCCTTTTGTAGTGGGCAGAGATGCCAAACTGCTTTCTGAAGCCCCTCAGCCATGACACTTAACTTTTGGCTTTTGTTTCCTTCTTAGCCAAGGATCCAGTTGCAGTATTGGTATAAAATATGTGGAAAAAAAGTGTGTAGGCATTCATGTCAGCAGGAGAACATCCACAGTGTATGGTATTTCAGAAAGTGAAATTGTTTTATGTCTCCCAGGGGAAAGGGTGGTGGCCTTTGCCGCTGTTGAAGGAGTTTTCTTCTCGGGATCCTTTGCTGCTATTTTTTGGCTAAAGAAAAGAGGTCTTATGCCTGGACTCACCTTTTCCAATGAACTCATCAGCAGAGATGAAGTAAGGAGCAAAGTGTGCTAGTTATTTGTTTCTGTTCTTATGTCGAGTTCATTTCTTTTTCTTTTTTTCTCTGTTCTTACGGTGACACGAGGATCCTGATAATATAAGAAAATAGCTCTTCCGTGAGTTAGGTGGTCCTGAGACCACTTTATCTCCAGCCCAGACATTTTTGGTATGTGTGTGTGTATGGGGGGGGGGGTGTGGAGGTTGTGCTGGGTGTCGTTCAGTAAGAACTCTAAAACCTACTAGACAAATTCTGAAAATCTAGGCAGGCCTGGAAAATCGCTCAAAGGACTGGGGTGCAGATTGGGGCATAAAAGTCCCTGAACTGCAGGCCTGGTAGGAGGAGTTCCAGACTGGCCTCCAGACCCCCAAAGCACTGCCTGGGAAACCCCCAGTGTAAGTAAAACTACTGCTCAGATCCTCTGGGAGTCATCTTCATATTCCTTTTCCTTTTAAGCTCCATTTGCTCCTTCATGCCTGGGAGGTACCTGCCACGCCTGATCATCTTCCCTGTCCTTTCATCTGTTTCATTCCTTGCTCTGTTCTGGCCACTTTACCACTTACCCCTTATCTGATGCAGTTAGGTCAAACCCAAACAGAACAGCAGGAACCTTGCTCTTCCTTTTCCTTGGGGTCTGGAGCCACAAGGCCCTTCAGTCCACTTTCATTGACACCGACCTGACTCCTCAGGGTAGAGATGAGGGACCCTTTCAAATACTTTCCCTTCTCCGAGTCTCAGTTTGTTCAACTCTAACTTTCATGAGGTTGTGTTACATATCTGATGGAGTATGGGCGGAAGTACTTAATACATGCCCTAAAATGCTTTGTAGAATGACTTTTTCTTCTTTCACTGGTTTCTGCTTAACTTTAGGATCAAGATCAGTATGTGTAATACTGAAAACCAGATAATAAAATTTATCTTAAAATACTTCTGCCAGGGGTTGGGGTGAGGCGTTTCCCCCACACTGCATGGCCCCCCCAAGTGCTTTCAGAGATGAGTTAATAGCTACATGCAGTTGTTCTGCTTTATTTATTTTTAAAAACTTCATAACTCTCTAATGCCATTGAGAGGGGCTGGAGCGATAGCACAGCGGGTAGGGCGTTCGCCTTGCACGCAGCCAACATGGCCGACCCGAGTTCGATTCCTCCGCCCCTCTCGGAGAGCCCGGCAAGCTACCGAGAGTATTCGATATGCCAGACACAGTAACAACAAAGTCTCCAATGGAGACGTTACTGGGCCCGCTCGAGCAAATCGATGATCAACGGGAGGGCCTTTACTTTACTTTACTTAATGCCATTGAAATTCCTTTAGATAAGTATTGACTTTAGTATCAATGTACTTAGTATAGAAAAAGTCAGATTTTTGTTGTTGTTTTGTTCTGGAGGGAGGGGTTTATACCTGGCAGTGCTGAGGGGCTATTGTTCACTTGGTGCTAAGCAGTAGCTCCTGGCAGTGTTGGGGTACCACGGGGTGCCGGGGATCAGTCAGGCCTTCTGCATGCCGAGCATGCACTCCAGCCCTTTGAGCTATCTCCTAGTATAAGAAATTGGAATTTAACTTAATTTTGTTTCAAATGTACGTGGCGTTTTCTAGATCTATTCACTAAGTAATTTGTCCTCTCCCATCAAATTGTGTCATCTTCTTTAATATATGGAAATGATATAATCATATATAAATATGTAAGGGTATAAAGTATACTAAAATCCTTTTCAGGGCTTTTTTGTTGTTATTATTGTCGTTGTTATTGTTCTGTTCCATTATACTGAGTGTCCATCTTCATTCTATTATAAACTATTTTAACTGTTGCAGTTAATAAAAAAAAAGTTCTGATAGGTTAAATCTCATGATGTCTTTTATAGGTATATCCTCATATAACTATAATCATTCATTCTTCCAGAATATCATCATCATTTTTTGTTGTGGGGACCACAGCTGGTGGTACTGAGGGAGCACTTCTGGTGGTGCTCGGGGGGACCCTGCAATAGCAGGCATTGAACCCAGGTCGGCCATGTGCAAGGCAGAAGCCCTCCCTGCTGCACTATCTTCTCTGACCCCAAATTATTATTATTTTTCAATTCAAAAACAAGATTTGAGTTGGAATTACTTGAAACCTCAAATTTAGTTTTATCACTTGTGGACTTAACAGTGCCTGCCTTTGATTTGCTCATCTCTCTGCTGGTCAGCGCTAATCAGTACTTTTTTAAAAATATACTTTAGGGTAGCTTATTTGAAATTTAGCCTTGAAAATTTGAAATACTCTTTTAAATTTGAAGAAGATATTTTACTAGTAAATCCAAGATTAGCACTTCAGAGAGGTTTTATCCACCCCTGCTGGTTTCTTCTGAAATGACAAGTAACCTAGTAAAATAGTCCTTGGAATGTGCATTTGATTTGAATTTTATCTTTCAATGGTCTTTATGTTTTTCTTGACTCATTTAGAAAAAGCCAAGCAATCCTCATTCGTAATCCTTTAAAAATCATAGTCCTTCCTACCCTTTCCCCCTTGATGACTTACAAAATTCTTTCTTTTCTTTATAATTTAGAAATGTGAATGAACTCAGCCTTGCTGTCAGCCTCTGTTATCCTCCTCCAGCTCTGGATACCTTTTGTTCTGTTTTTTCAAAAGTTTCTTTTGTCTTTTTAAATTTCATACCACCTGTTCTGTGATTTTGGACTGTTTCTTATTCTGTTCCCAAGTATTTAAGATTATTCCCCTTTTCTGTTACACAGCATATACGAAAGAATTTCTTTCTTTGGTTGAGTTTTCTGCATTGTCACTTTCGTTTCATACAGTTTCAAATGGCATTCTTCATTGGCTTCTATTTTCACTGTACTTAATTCATTTTGGAGGGCTTATTTCTGGCACTCTGTTCAGAGATTACTCCTGGTGGTGTTTAGGGACCATATGCGTAGCCAAGGATCAAACTGGGATTTTCTGGGTACAGGGCAAGTAATCTGACCCCTGTACTTTCTGAATTCATTTTTATGTGCTACCGAGAGTATTCGATATGCCAGACACAGTAACAACAAAGTCTCCAATGGAGACGTTACTGGGCCCGCTCGAGCAAATCGACGATCAACGGGAGGGCCTTTACCTTACCTTTACCTTTTAAAAAAAATGTTCAGCCAAACTGGCACCCCTTAGCCTCCTGTATGAAAACAATTCCTCCACCACCTGACTTGTCTCTCCATCCCTGCCATTCCTTTTTAACATGGACTTTTTGGACATCAGAGTCTTGCCTCTTCTTTTTTTTTTTTCTTTTTGGGTCACATCCGGTGATGCTCAGGGATTACTCCTGGCTCATGCACTGAGGAATTACTCCTGACAGTGCTTGGGGGACGATATGGGATGCTGGGCATCAAACCCGGGTTGGCCGCATGCAAGGCAAACGCCCTACCGACTGTACTATCCCTCTGGCCCTTGCCTCTTCTTTTAGTGAATATTATTTTCCACTCATTGCTTAAAATTCCTTAGTCACTAGAAATGAATGAACTTTTATATTGGCATTTTTTCTTGTTTTATTTTCCTTTACACATACTTTTAGTTGTGGATTTGTTGTTGTTAATAAATTCTTCAATATTAACAAAATCAGATTTGCTGGCTCTGGAAACTTTCCATTCTAGGTTATTTTATTTCGCACTTTAATGAGACTTGACAGGATATCTCTGTCCTTATTGGTGCCTCTTCTTATCATCTAGAAGTTTCACCTTGCAGTCCCAGAACCTACCTTATAAACTGTTATGTCACTGTGTGAAAATAGCCGATTCAATTTTCTTTGACTGTGATGTTTTTCTCCTATTGCAGGGGCTCCATTGTGACTTTGCTTGTCTGATATTTCATTACTTAGTGAATAAGCCTTCAGAAGAAAGGGTGAGGGAGATCATTGCTAATGCGGTTGAAATTGAACAGGTAAGTAGGGAAACATCTCTTATTAGCCCACGGCTCCCATGTCTATACCATTATTGGATTAGTTTGGCACAAATGATTTAGTGGTACAAAAATATGGTATCAGTTTTATGTGGTCAAGAATACAAAGGCAAAGGCTAGAGTGATAGTACAGTGGACAGGGCATTTGCCTTTCACACCGCCAACCTGGGTTCCATCCCTGGCGCCCCTGAGCCTGCCAGGAATGTTCCCTGAATATAGAGTCAGGAGTGACCTCTGAGCATTGCTGGGTGTGCCCCCCTTCCCAAATAATACAAGGACAGCCCACAGACTGGGAAAAATTATTTGCCCACTACTCATCTGACAGAAGGTTAATATCCAAGATATATAAAGCACTGCTAAAACTTTGCAAGAAAAAAAAATCCAACCCTATCAAAAAAATGGAGTATCCTGGATCAGTACTCAATACTCAATACTTTTTGAGGAATCGAAAGAGATATGCTTGGAGTATCACGTTTCACTCAAATGAGAGAAAGAATCTGGAGTTCCGACTTCCACCGATGGTCAAGAATTAGGGACACTGTCTCGTTTGCCAAGCCGTCGAAAATCAGATGGGCTGGACATGTAATGAAATTTGGAGACGACCACTGGACTAGAGCTGATACTGACTGGATTCCACGGGACGTCAAAAGACCACGTGGCCGCCCACCTATGGGATGGTCACACTTCTTCATCAAGACCCTGACGGATTGGTTTGAGTCTGTTCGTGTTCCTAGAATGAGCAGACGCCATAGGGCTACACTAGCACACGACAGGGACAAATGGAGATGTTTCTGGTGCCCGCTCGAGCAAATTGATGAGTAATGGGAAGTCAAATGATCAAGAGATCCTGGATCAAGTCTGGGTCAGCCGCATGCAAGGCAAAACACCCTCCCACTGTATCATCTCTGGCCTCACATTTTGGTATCTTTAACTATCTTCAGAATCAAATCCAAGTGGTTAAAATGTCTTGTATTTTCCTCTGTTGACACTTCATAACTGTCTTTCAGTGTAGATGGAATATTGGCTTATTCAGTTGATCTTCCAGCCCACAGACCCATTTGATTTTTTTCTCATTTTCTTCGTTACTTGAGTTTCCTCCCTGTGCCAACTCCCCTCAGTGGCCATGTTCCCACCAACAGTCATTCTACACCTCCTCCACCACCGCGCCCCGGTTTTTGGGTCACACTCGGCAATACTCAGAGGTTACTCCTGGCTCTGTAATCAGGAATTGCTCCTGGTGGTATTCAGGGAACCGTATGGAATGCTAGGGTTCAAAACCAAGTCAGCTGCATGCAAGGCATGCTAAGGCTATACTACCGCTCCAACCCTGCCAGCAATAGTTATTTTTAAATTTTTTTATTTTAAAAAAATTTTTTTTTAAAGAATTTTTTAAACTTTTTTTTTTTTTTTTTTTGCTTTTTGGGTCACACCCAGCGATGCTCAGGGGTTACTCCTGGCTCATGCACTCAGGAATTGCTCCTGGCGGTGCTCAGGGGACCATATGGGGTGCTGGGAATCGAACCTGTGTTGGCCATGTTGGCTGAATGCAAGGCAAACACCCTACCCGCTGTGCTATCGCTCCAGCCCCCTATTTTTAAAAATTTTTTTAAACAATCACCTTTGGTAAATTTATTTCTAGATATTTTGGTAGAAAACCTTTTTGTTTTGTTTTGTTTTCCTCTCAAGACAGTATTGAAAACATAGTGCCTAAAAGGAAAATAAGAAAGAAAGAGAGGAGAGCGAGAGAAAAGTTGTTTGCCATAGAGGCAGGCTGTGGGGCAGGGTGGGTGGGAGGGAAACTGGGCACATTGGTGGCAGGAAATATGCACTGGGGAGAAGGGACGGATGTTGGAACACGGTATGACTGAAACCCAATCATGAACAACTTTGTAACTGTATATCTCACAATGATTCAGTAAATTAGAAAGAGAGAAAGAGCAAGCAAGAATATGAATTCCTGTCCTGGGTTCCATCCCTGGCGCCCCTGAGTCTGCCAGGAATGTTCCCTGAATACAGATAGAGTCAGGAGTGACCTCTGAGCATTGCTGGGTGCGCCCCCCTTCCCAAATAATACAAGGACAGCCCACAGACTGGGAAAAATCCCAGTCTTGGCATTTAGTCTCCATTTATTTGGGCTATTTGAGAACGGGTGATTGGAGCGAGGTGGGTCCAATAGAGCCCCAGCAGCTGAAAACCTCCATACTCCAGAGTCAATACCCTGCTCCTGGTGGGACCCCACAGCTCAGACAAGCCTCATCCAGAAATGGACCCATTGAAAAACTTGGCTATGTGGGTTTGTGACTGAAATCTCCAGGTTTTCTACAGAGTCAGGGATGGGCTACCCTTCACCCCTCACCTCTGCCATCTCCCTGTTCTTCTGAATGCCTGAGCAGTCACACACAGGCCCCAGAGTTCACCCAATTAAAAATTCACCTCCAGCTGTATCATCCCATTAAAAGTTTTGGACGCCCTGGAGCACGTGAACTCCACAAGATTGATAAAGCAGGAGAAGCACACCAGATTGGATGGAATGGCATGCAGAGGCAGCCAGTCTCAATCAACACAGTATGAAAACAGACGACCTGTAACAACATTAGTCATCTCTCTCACAAGGGCTTAATGTCTCCATGGTGAGATTCAACGATTTTCACTAACCTTCTTCTAGGGAAACATTTTTTAAATCATATTTTTAGCAAATTATTTAAAACAACATCACTGTCACTGTCACTGTCCTCCCGTTGTTCATCGATTTGCTCGAGCAGGCCCAGTAACGTCTCCATTGTGACACTTGTTAACTGTGTTTGGCATATTGAATACATCACGGGTAGTTTGCCAGGCTTTGCCGTGTGGGTGAGATACTCTCGGTAGCTTGCCGGGCTCTCCGAGATGGATGGATGAATCGAACTAGGGTCAGCCATGTTGGCTGCATGCAAGGCAAACGCCCTACCGCTGTGCTATCACTCCAGCCCAAAACACGCAACATAAAATAAATAATTGAGGACCTGCTATAGGGCCGGGTTTTAGGGATGATTGGGAAAATTGGAAATAATGGTGGTGGGAAGGTGCGATGGTGGTGGGATTGGGGTTGGAATATTGAATGTCCCTAATGAAAGCAATGATTTAATAAAGTTATAAAATAAAAAGTAATGATGTAGTACATCTAAATAACATACTCATATTGAACCAGTAAGAAAATGTAGTTTAATGTTTTTACTGTTTATTTCAGTAATTTAGGAAATGCATAAAATCAAAGCATATGTTGAATTTATTTTTAACAGATACAGGTATGTATTATAGTCATATTTTGAAATGGCTGGCAGGTAAAATAAAATATTTTTGCTATAAAAAAAAAGAATGGGTGAGAATGGGAAATAATGTGAAGAGCAACACCCAACCATTTTCAAACAAGAGGAGGTTGTTTGCCACGTTCAAAGAACTTACCTGTGAATACATTCCTTGGCCAGCATCAGTTATTTTAGGAGGCTGAGTAGCAAAAAGCCCAAACCCACTTTTTTAGTGGGAAAATGTGTATCTGTTGTTCTGTCCTATATACCTATTCTGTTCTTGCTTGTATCTCAGGAGTTTCTAACAGAAGCTTTGCCTGTTGACCTCATTGGAATGAACTGTGTTTTGATGAAGCAGTATATTGAATTTGTAGCAGACAGGTTACTTGTGGAACTTGGCTTCTCAAAGGTAAGTTTGTTACTGGTTAAAATGTTAGAATCATGGAAGGCTACTTACATGTTATATTCACTAACAGCATTTGTGGGCCGTAGTGATAGTATAGCGGGTAGGGCATTTGCCTTGCACGTGGCCAACCCGGGTTCAATCCCCAGCATCCCATATGGTCCCCAAGGAGTAATTTCTGAGTTCAGAGCCATGAGTAACCCCTGGCATCACTGGGTGTGACCCTAAAAGCAAAAAATAAATAAATAAAGGCATTTGTATATGCTAGTTTACTTTTCTTTGTTTTAACATATATTTTTATTATTATTAATGCTTTATGGATCACAGTGATGTTCATATTTATTCTCTAAGCATGTGGTTCTCAGCACACCCACTACAGAAGTGTGATATCCGTCAATCCTGGCCTAGCCCACCTTTAAAATGTCCATGATAGGGCCTGAGAGATGGTACAGGGCTTAAGAGTCTTGCATGGCACCTCAGGGGACCATGTTTTGATCCCCAGCATTGCCAGGGCTCATTCCTGAGCACAGAGCTAGAAATAGTCTCTGAGCACTGCTCAGTGTGGACTCCTTTAAACAAACAAAAAAATAAGAATGTCTGACAGGCTTTTTTTTTTTTTTTGCATAAACAAACTGGCTTCACAGAATCCTTTGAAGTTTAAAATGAAATTCCTAATGGAAATAGAAAGCTGACGAATCTTACAACTGAACTAATAACACTGTAAAAACACTGTCCTCCCATTGTTCATCGATTTGCTCAAGCGGGCCCAGTAACGTCTCCATTTTGAGACTTGCTGTTACTGTGTTTGGCATATCGAATACGTCACGGGGAGCTTGCCAGGCTCTGCCGTGCGGGCGAGATACTCTCGGTAGCTTGCCAGGCTCTCCGAGAGGGGTGGAAGAATCGAACCCAGCTTGGCTGGGCTGGCTGCGCGTAAGGCAACCGCCCTACCGCTGTGCTATCGCTCCAGCCCATACAACTGAACTAATAGCTCAGTAAATTGTTTTTGGTTTGGAGCCACACCCAGCAGTGCTCAGGGGTTACTCCTGGCTCTGTACTCAGGAATGGTCCCCATATGGTCCCCAGTACTGTGCTTGGGGACCATACAGGATTCCGACGAAGAACCCAGGTCCGCCATATACAAGGCCAAATGCCCTACCTACTGTACTATCTCTCCAGCCCCAGATAGCTCAGTACATTGGTTTTGCCTTTTTTTTTTTTTTTTTTTTTTTTTGGTCACAGTTGTAGCTATGTAATAGAATTCTCTTTTTATTCTGGTACATTTGGGCCAGCTCCCTATCGGTCATGGAGATAACCAGAGCTACATATGGTGGTGCCAGGGAAGCCATGCCGTGCTGGGGATCCAACCTGGAGCCCCATGCATGCCATCCATTTGCCAGCCCCGACTCATCTCCCCAAGCCCCCGGTAGGATTATCCCTGGGTAGTGAGTGGGGGTTAATGTACATACATGCATTTACTCTCATATAAATCCAGTGTCTATGGTAAGTTGGGGGTTAATTCTTGTAAATAGGAAACAGTCATTATGAAGGCCTTAACTTCCATCGTTTAATACATTTTGGGGAGAGGGTTCCCCAGTGGTCTGGGGACGGGCTGATGATGCTTTGCATGGAGGTGCTTCACTGACCCCAAGCAACTGGAGACCACTAGGCCACACCTGGTGGGGCTCGGGGCTTGTGTGTCGTCAGGGATGAAACCCAGGGCCACAGGCTTGCAGGCATACAGTGCTCCAGCCCTTTTTGCTCTCTCCTTGGCCCCATAATTTAACTCTTTGAATTTAGCCTTAAGTTATTTCCGTTATCTGGTTTATCTCTGATATCATTCCTGAATTCATAAAGAGGCTTCTCACCTGGCTTCAGATGAAATCTGTAGCTAGATGACCGGCTTTGATTTCTACTTTGCACTTTCTGATTGGATGCCCGCCAGCAACTTGCTTCATCTCTGCCTGAATTTTCCCTTTTGTAAGATGGAGTTAATACTTGCCACAAAGAATGCTTGATAAGCTAGTAAAGCATTTAGACTCATGTCAGAAACTGGGTATGAGAGAGCTCAGTGGGCTAGAGCACCTGCTGTGTATGCAAGAGGCAAGTTCAGTCACCTGTGCCCCTAAGTACCACCAACAGGTGTTCCCCCAAGCCCCAAAATAAATAAATTAAAGGAACTGAAAAAAAGAACTGTTTTTTTGGTCATGGTATATTTTGGCAAAATAAGAGAATTATTTATATTTGCAAATGGTTATTATTTATACAGAATTCTATATCTCAGCAACATCCATGATATCACCAACCTCTTTAGTTTAGGGTGAATCAAGAAGGGCCAGAGAGCTAACACAGGGATTAAGGCACTTTGCTTTGCGAGCAACCAGCCCCTGTTGGATCCCTGGCACCTCAGTGGACTCCTCCTTTCCATGGTAGAATGTTTTTAAACTTTTTTTAAAATTTTTATTAGTGAAACACCATGAGGTACAGTTGTAGACTTACAAATTTTTGTGCTTGGGCTTCGATTATACAGTGATCAAATACCCATCCCTCCACCAGTGCCTATTTTCCACCACCATGGATCCCAGTATCCCTCCCACCCCCCTTCCCCCCATCCCACCCTGCCTCTGTGGCAGGGCATTCCCTTTTGTTCTCTCTCTCCTTTTGGGTGCTGTGGTCTGCAAAAGAGGCATTGAGTGGCAATCATGTTCAGTCTACTTTCAACATGCATCTCCCATCCTGGGAGGATCCTCCCAACACCCTTTATTTGATGCTCCCTTCTCTATCTGAGCTGCCCTTACCCCTAGAATGCCCAGCTGGCCTCTAAGCCATGGAGTAATCCTCCTGGTACTGATCTTGGCTATTCTTGGGTATTAATCTCCTATTTTGTTACTTTATGTCCCCCAGATGAATGCAATCTTTTTATGTCTATCCCTCTTGTTTTTAAACTTTTGTGTTGTAGTATATATATCATATTATTCCTTTTGGAACCAACTGAAATTCCATTGTGTGGACATAGCAAATTTTATTTTTGTATTGATTGATTGAGTGACATTTAGGTTTCTTCTGCTTTTTTGGGTGTCACACATAATGTGGCTCTGCAATTCACATTGCCATTTTTGTACAGAAATATGTCTTCATTTTTCTTGGCCCCATAATGAGATGATTGCTAGGCCATACAGCCATTTTGTTTTTAACCATGAGAGCAGCTCTCAGACCATTTTCCACAGCGACTGCTGCATCTCGTGTTAAGCACTGGCACTGAAGGAGTCCCCTTGCCTCCGTGTCCTTACTAACCTGCTCCATCTTCACTGGAGCCATCGCACGGCGTGTGAAGTGCTGTCTCGTCATGATCTTGCTTTGTGCTTCCCCGATGATAATGAGGTTGAGCACCACTGGATGAGCATATTCTGTAGAGCAATATCTCCCTATTCAAGTCCTTTGCCTGATTTTCAGTTGGGCTATTTGAATAGATTCTTACCTGTGGTGTTCATAGTCTCTGCTAGGCTGCTCCTGCACCCGTAGTTTCTCTTTTATTCTCCTCCTGAATCTTAGACATGTCTTATGGTGCCTATCAAGCAGCTCCAAGACTGCTTCTTAAATTCAGAATCAGTAAAAAATTCTTGGGCTTGGGAGGTAGTCCAGTGATTAGGGCACATGGTAGACTTGGTTCAGTCCCCAGCACCACATGCTTCCCTCAAGCATCCCTGCCTTGTAGCACCCTCCTCCTGCCGCAACCCTGCCTGGTGTGACCCGAGCCCCACTGTACCCTTAGGTCCTTGCTCTGAACTGCTGGCTAGTTGGCTGACACTTCCTGGTTAGTCTCAGGCCTCCTGAGCACTTCTTGGGAGGACCTTCACCCTCCACCCCCTTGAAATAGACATCTTGTTAGTTCGTGTCTCCCATTTAATTTGGTGCCTTCTCCGGCTAGCATGGATTTTATTTATTTATTTTTTTGCGTCACACCCGATGATGCACAAGGGTTATTCCTGGCTCTGCATTCAGGAGTTACTCCTGACGGTGCTTAGGGCACCATACGGGATGGCTGGGAATCGAACTTGGGTCGGCCGCGTGCAAGGCAAACGCCCTACCCGCTATGCTATCTCTCCAGCCCCAGCATGGATTTTATTTGGGGTCACTATAGAGACAGGGTTAATTCTCTTCTCCCCCACTTAATGTCTATATGTCAATATGTGGATTCTCCCTTCTTTCATGAACCAAGAAACAAATTTAGGTCCACAAAGCTCATTTTAATACTTCAAATTAGATTTCAAATAATATCTAATGATCAAATAATATCTAATATCTAATGTGATGTGAGGGAGTTGAATATTTTGACATACTGTGTTTGTGTACTTCCCAAATATTGCCTCTGAAAAATGATTAGAATATTTTTGGTGCATTGAATCTAGCTATAAATGTATTTTTCATTTGGTAGAACATACATTTCTTTATTTTCTGAAATAATCCTCTTGTTCTTTCTACTTGGAATCCCAGTGATGCTAGCATCTCTTCTGGAGGAGGTTAGGAGATGTCTCAGTCTTCTTGAATTGGAGGTGCTGAGTACCCTTTCAGACTCAGGGATTCCGCTAGTGACTGAGCCCCTGGTGGCAGGTCTGAGTTCGGGTTGTCTGTGGTTCTTCTCTTTGTTTTTGGGCAATACCCGGTGGTTCTCAGGGCTTACTCCTGGCTCTTCACTCGGGGATCATTCCTGGCAGTTCTTGGGGGACCATATGGGGTGCTGGGGCTAGAGCCTGGGTAGGCTGTATGCAGGGTTATCTCCCTGCCTCCCACACCATCACTCTGCCCCTGTGGTGCTTGTGGGAGATCATTTGGTTTCTTCAGGATAGGTAGTAACTTATTTTTTCCTTTTCAGGTTTTTCAAGCCGAAAACCCCTTTGACTTCATGGAAAACATTTCTTTGGAAGGGAAAACAAATTTCTTTGAGAAGCGGGTTTCAGAATATCAGCGTTTTGCTGTTATGGCAGAAACCGCTGATAATGTTTTCACCTTGGATGCTGATTTTTAAAACGTTCCTGGAGCGAGCAGACACCATTGGGCTACACTAGCATGCGACAGGGACGAATGGAGATGTTACTGGCACCCGCTCAAGCAAATCGATGAACAGCGGGATGACAGTGCTACAGTGCAGTGCTCTTTATTTCATTTTATTTTTTAATTTTATTGAATCATTGTTAGATACAGTTACAATTATACAATGTCCAAACACCCATCCCTACACAGGTGCACATTCCCCAACACCAATCTCCCCAGTATACCCCCCCTTTCCCACCCTCCCCCTGCCTCCCTGACAGACAATTTCCCTCCCCTCTCTGCTTTTGGGCATTAGGGTTTGCAGTACAGATACTGAGAGGCCATCACGTTTGGTCCTTTTTTTTTTTTTTTTTGCTTTTTTGGTCACACTTGGCGATGCTCAGGGGCTATTCCTGGCTCTGCACTCAAGAATTACTCCTGGCGGTGCTCAGGGGACCATCTGGGATGCTGGGAATCGAACCCGGGTTGGCTGTGTGCAAGGCAAACACCCTACCCGCTGTGCTATCACTCCAGCTCCATGTCTGGTCCTTTATCTACTTTCAGCACACGTCTCCCATCCCAAATGATCCCTCCAACCATCACTGACTTAGTGATCCCTTCTCCATTCCAAGTTGCCTTCTCCCCCCACTCATGAGGCAGGCTTCCAACTATGGAGCAAAATTCCTGGCCCTTGTGTCTATTGTCCTTGGGTGTCAGTCTCATGTTATGTTATTTTATACTCCACAAATGCGTACAGTCCTTCTATGCCTGTCCCTCTCTTTCTGACTCATTTCACTTAGCATGATACTCTCCATGTCTATCCACTTATAAGCGAATTTCATGACTTCATCTCTCCTACCAGCTGCATACTCCATTATACAATGGAATGTTCCATTGTATAAGATGTACCAAAGTTTCTTTAACCAGTCTTCTGTTCTCGGGCACTCGTGTTGTTTTCCAGATTCTGGCTGTTATGAACATGCTGCAATGAACATAAAGGTACAAATGTCATTTCTACTATACTTTTTTGCATCCTCAGGATATATTCCCAGAAGTGGTATTGCGGGGTCATATGGAAGCTCAATTCCTAGATTTTGAAGGAATGTCCATATTGTTTTCCAGAAAGGCTGGACCAGTGAGCATTCCCACCAGCAGTGAAAGAGGGTCCCTTTCCATGCCAGCATTGGTTGCTTATGTTCTTTTGAATGTGTGCCAGTCTCTGTGGTGTGAGATATCTCATTGTTTTGATCTGCATCTCCCTGATGACTAGCGATATGGAGCATTTTTTCATGAGCTTTTTGGCCATTTGTATTTCTTTTTTGAGGAAGCTTCTGTTCATTTCTTCTCCCCATTTTTTGATGGGGTTAAAACCTTCTCAAGGGGAGAATTTCCCTAGCCTTTAACAAAACATTAACCAAGTTTAGGGACTAGGAATTTACTCAAAGGAAATGTCAGATCAACTCTCAATCAGGTTGTGTTTCTATAAACACACTCAGATTGGCATGTTTAACAAACCTGAATTCTTTGGGTTTTGTCACTGAAGTGAAAGGTGGCATTGTATAGTGTTCAAAAGCTTGGGGCTGTATTTTTTCCCCCCTTTTTCTTGTAAAGTCCTGCTAGTATCTTCTATATCTTTGATACTAACCCCTTATCAGATGAGTGTTGGGTGTCCACAGTCCCGCTGTGTCTGAACCTGGGAGGCATGAATACATTGTTCCTCTGAGGCTGACGGCTCAAGGACTCAGACTTGAACTGTTATCTGGTAAATAACGGACACAGACTAACAACTGATGGTCAGTTGGCGAATTTATTTGGAGAGTTGGATGGTTCTATAGGGGCAGAAAGGAATACGGAACTTGTGGTCTGTGGGAATGCAGTGAAGGGGGATGGAAGAGGAGAGGGTCAAAGGTTACATGTGTTATATATCAATATAGGAGACACATGAGGCGAGAACTTAGAGAATCCTCTAGTAACAAAGACTATGAATCCAAGTAATAAGAAAACATTCTGCTTAATCAGTCCCGTCTGGTGACTCGTACAGTGAATCCCACTACTAGACCGGCCACCAAAGATCATCCATCAGTCTCTGGCTATAGGGGGTGTCAGGTTCTCCGCTGACAGTCTGGTGCCAACATCAGCCCGAGGGCGTATCTCCCAGAGACCGCCTCAGGGAATCACTCAACCCAGAAGGGCTAGGGAGCTGAATGAGCAAAAACTCCCGCAGTTGCATTACCACTTTCTCCCGGTCCGTGGGCTGGCTTTGTATCCTGCTCATCATTTCCTTTGAGCTGTAGAAGCTTCTTAATTTGATGTAGTCCCCTTTGTTTATCTTTGTTTCTCCTTGCTTAGTCAGTGGTGTTTTATCCTTGAAGGTGATTCTGCATATGTTTCCTCTCTGTACCTTATGGAATTAGGTCTGATATCAGCTCTCTAGTCCATTCTGATATGGCTTTTGTGCCTGGCATTAGAGAGAGGTCTGAGTTTTTTTGTTTTTTGCTTTTTTGTTTTGCAGGTAGCTGACCAGTTTTCCCAGCACCACTTGTTGAAGAGGCTTTCCTTGTTCCACTTCATAGTTTTTGCTCCATTATCCAAGGTTAACTCATCACCTGTGTACCTGAGCTGTCTCTGGATATTCAGCTCTATTCCATTGATCTGAGGGTCTGCCTTTATTCTAGTATGAACTTCACAAAAAAAAATTCAACCCTATCAAAAAAATGGGGAGAAGAGATGAACAAACCTCCTCAGAGAAGAAATACTCATGACCAAAAGGCTCATCAATCATCAGGAGACGCAAATTAAACAACAATAAGCTGTCATCTCACACTTCAGAGACTGGTACACATCAAAAAGAACAGGAACAACCAGTGCTGGTATGGACGTGAGGAGAAAGGGACTCTCATTCACTACCGGTGGGACTGTCCACTGGCCCAGCCTTTCTGGAAAACGATATGGACATTATTAGAACATCTAGGAATGAGCTTCCAATTGACTCAACAGTCCCACTTCTTGAAATATACCCCAAGGATCCAAAAACAAAATGGAGAAAAGACATTTGTACCCCTGTGTTCCTTGCAGCGCTATCCATAATAGCCGAAATCTGGAAACAGCCCAAATGTTCAAGAATAGAGGACTGGATCAAGAAATAGTACTCGGCCATAAGGAGCGATAAGGTCATGCGATTTGCTGCTACATAAAGGGAACTAGCGAGCATGATGCTGAGTGAAGTTAGAGACTTAGAATGATCTCTCTCATATGTGGGGCATGAGAAAATGTAACGGTGGAAGAACAAATGCCCAGAGACCGTGGAAACAACATGCCTCCTGAAAGGACTGGGGGGTGGGACAGGAAAGAGGCAGTGACTATGGTGGAAGGAGGGGGTGGGGCTGGAAGGTGTGAAGTGTCACATATGAATCCCTATTGGTAACAGTACTACAAGCTACAGTACAAAAATGTATGTATTGTGAAAAAGTGCCTTTTGTGGAGGCAGAATTGTGGACTGAGGGCAGTAGCCTGAGCCTTAGCAAGCAGTGCGTTCCTCACTACCACCAGAATTTGACTGCAAAATTCTGGGAGCCAAAAACAAAGAGATTTTTCTCTTTGCATACATTTTTGTTCCATCCATCCCTCAGCTTGAGTCGGCTCAAACCAGGAGTTCTGGAGTGGAGGGCCCGCAAGAGAAACAGCCATGGCTTTGATAGAGTATCTGCAAAGTGAGCACTTTCGGCCTGTGATGGAACCAAATTCAGTGCTGCATTGGTCTTCCACTCCTTGCATCTTACAACAACTGTAAGAGCTTCCCGGAACCATGGCTGAGGATGTGTGTGCGTGTGTGTGTGTGTGTGTGTGTGTGTGTGTGTGTGTGTGTGTGTATTTTAATTTATTTTATTTTTTTATTGAATCTCTGTGAGATACAGTTACAAGCTTTCATGTTTGAGTTACAATCATACAGTGTTCAAACTCCCATCCCTCCACTAGTGCACATTTCCCACCACCAATCTCCGCAGTATAGGCCCCCCTTTCTCACCCTCCCCCTGCCTCCCTGGCAGACAGTTTCCTCCATACTCTCTCTCTGCTTTTGGGCATTATGGTTTGCAATACAGATACTCAGCGGCTATCACGTTTGGTCCTTTATCTACTTTCAGCACACATCTCCCCTCCTGACCGATTCCTCCAACCATCATTTTCTATGTCTGTCCCTCTCTTTCTGACTCATTTCACTTAGCATGATATTCTCATTGCCTACCCACGTATAAGCAAATTTCATGACTTCATCTTTCCTGGAATGCATAGTATGGAATGCATGTATACTAATACATAATGGAATGCATAGTAGCCATTGTGTAGATGTACCAAAGTTTCTTTAACCAGTCGTCTGTCCTTGGGCACTCAGGTTGTTTCCAGATTCTGGTTATTGTGAACATGCTGCCATGAACATAAAGGTACAAATGTCATTTCTACTATACTTTTTTGCATCCTCAGGATATATTCCCAGAAGTGGTATTACGGGGTCACATGGAAGCTCAATTCCTAGTTTTTGAAGGAATGTCCATATTGTTTTCCAGAAAGGCTGGACCAGTGGGCATTCCCACCAACAGTGAAAGAGGGTCCCTTTCCCCCCACATCCACGCCAGCACTGGTTGCTTATGTTCTTCTGAATGTGTGCTAGTCTCTGTGCTGTGAGATACCTCATTGTTGTTTTGATCTGCATTTCCCTGATGATTAGCGATGTGAAGCATTTTTTCATGTGCTTTTTGGTCATTTGTATTTTTATTTTTAGGAAGCTTCCGTTCATTTCTTCTTTCCATTTTTTGATGGGGTTGGAGGTTTTTTTCTTGTACAATTCTACTAATGTCTTGTATATTCTTGTCAGATGGGTATTGGGTAAATATTCTTTCCCATTCTGTGGGCTCTTTCTGTATTTTAGTCACTGTTTCTCTTGAAGTGCAGACACTTCTTAGTTTGATGTAGTGCCATTTGTTTATGTTTGTTTCCACTTGCTTGGTCAGTGGTGTTTCATCCTTAAAGATGCTTTTAGCTTCAGTGTCGTGGAGAGTTCTGCCTACATTTTCCTACGTGTAATTTATGGATTCATGCCTGATATTGAGGGCTTTAATCCACTTTGATCTAACTTTTGTGCATGGTGTTAGACAGAGGTCAGAGTTCCTTTATTTTGCAGGTAGCTATCCAGTTTTCCCAGCACCACTTGTTGAAGAGGCTTTCCTTGTTACACTTCATATTTCTTGCTCCTTTGTCAACTACTAAGTGGTCCTATGTATGAGAGTCTGTGACAGAATATTCAACTTTGCTCCATTCGTCTGCAGGTCTTTTTCTATCCCAATGGCATGCTGTTTCAATTACCACTGCTTTGTAGTATAGTTTGAAGTTAGGGAAGGTGATGCCACCCATCTTCTTTTTCCCAAGGATTGCTTTAGCTATTCGTGGGGGTTTATTGTTCCATATGAATTTCAGGAGTGTTGTTTATTTCTTTGAAAAATGTCATGGGTATCCTGATAGGGACTGCATTAAATCTGTATAGTGGTTTAGGGAGTACTGCCATTTTGATAATGTAAAATCCTCCCTACCCATGAGCAGAGGATGTGTCTCCATTTCCTAGAATCCTCTTATTTCTTGAAGTAGTATTTTGTAATTTTCCTTTTATAAGTCCTTTACCTCTTTGGTTAAGCTGATTCCAAGGTACATGATTTTCTGGGGTACTATTGTGAATGGGATTTTTTTAAAATGTCTTTTCTTTTTCTTTATTTGTATATAAGAAAGCCATGACTTATTTATTTATTTATTTATTTGCTTTTTGGGTCACACCCGGCAATGCACAGGGGTTATTCCTGGCTCATGCACTCAGGAATTACTCCTGGCGGTGCTCAAGGGACCATATGGGATGCTGGGAATCGAACCCGGGTTGGCTGTGTGCAAGGCAAACACCCTACCCGCTGTGCTATTACTCCATCCCCAGAAAGCCATGGACTTTTGGGTGTTGATTTTGTAGCCTGCAACTTTACTAAACTGACCTATTGTTTCTAGGAGCTTTTTTGAGAATCTTTAGGGTTTTCTAAGTATAGTATCATATTGTCTGCAAATAGTGATAGTTTGACCTCTTCCTTTCCTGTCTATATTCCCTTGATACCTTTCTCTTGCCTAACTGCAATGACCAGGACTTCCAGTAGTATATTGAATAGAAGTGGCAAAAGTGGGCAACCTGGTCTTGTGCCCAATCTTAGAGGGAAGGCTTTTAGTTTTTTCCCCATTGAGAATGATACTTTCCGTGGGCTTGTGGTAGATGGCTTTGACTATATTGAGCAAAGTTCCTTCAATGCCCATTTTGCTGAGAGTTTTCATCACAAACGGGTGCTGGACCTTGTCAAATGGTTCCACTGCATCTGTTGATATGACCATATGTTTTTTTTTATTGATATGATAAATTATGTTGATTGACTTGCGAATGTTAAACCATCCTTGCATCCCTGGGATGAATCCTATTTGGTCATGGTGTATGATCTTTTTGATGAGTCGTTGAATTATGTTTGCTAGGATTATGTTGAGAATCTTTGTGTCTGTATTTTTCAGGGATATCACCTGTAATTCTCTTTCCTTATGGTAATTCTGTCTGCTTTTGGTATCAGGGTGATATTTGCTTCATAGGAACTGTTTGGAAGTGTTTCTGATACTTCAGCTTCCTGAAAAAGCTTAAAGAGGATTGGAAGTAAATGCTCCTTAAAGATTTGGAAAAATTCACTAGTGAATCCATCTGAGCCAGAACCTTTGTGTTTGGGGAGAATTTTTTTTTTTCTTTTTGGGTCACACCTGGCGATGCACAGGAGTTACTCCTGGTTCATGCACTCAAGAATTACTCCTGGCGGTGCTCGGGGTACCATATGGGATGCTGGGAATCGAACCTAGGTCGGCTGCATGCAAGGCAAACGCCCTAACCGCTGGGCTATTGCTCCAGCCCCCGGGGAGAATTTTTATTACTATTTCAATTTCCTTGATGGTGATAAATTTGTTTAGGTTTTCTAGGTCTTCTTGGTTCAGCCCCAGGAGGCTATGGGAATCCAGGAATTTATCCATTTCCTCAAGGTTTTCTTGTTTCATGGCATAAAGCTTCTCAAAGTAGTCTTTGAGGATCCTTTGAATTTCTGTAGTCTCTGTTGTGATGTCCCTCTTTTCATTTCTGATTCAGTTTATTAGGGTTTTCTCTCTCCCTTTCTTTGTGAGTCTTGCTAGAGGTTTATTGATCTTGTTTATTTTCTCAAAGATCCAGCTCTTGATTTATTGATCTTTTGGATTGTTTTTCGGGTTTCCATCTCATTAATTTCTGCTCTGTGTTTTATTATTTCCTTCTTCCTGCCCAGGTTGAGCTCCTTTTGTTGGTCATTCTCCAAGCTCTTGAGCTGTGAGTTTAGGTTGTTTATGTGGGCTCACTCTTCCTTCCGGAGGAATGCTTGTAGAGCTATAAACTTTCCTCAACATAGCTCTTGCTGTATCCCTTAAGTTTTGGTAACTTGTGTCCTTATTTTCATTCCTTTCCAGGAATCTTTTGATTTCCTCTTTGATTTCCTTTCTAAGCCACTCGTTGTTCAGTAGTGAGCTGTTTAATTTCCAGGTGTTTGATTTGATTTTCTGTTTGTGTGTGTGATTTACTTCTATTTTCAGTGCATCTTGGTCTGAGAAGATTGTTGATACAATCTCTATCTCCTTTATTTCATGGAGATATGTTTTGTGGCGCAGTATGTTGTCTATCTTGGAGAATGTCTCATGCACACTTGAGAAGAATGTGTATTCAACTTTTTTGAGCATGAAGTGTCCTGTGTATATCTTCTAAGCCCCTCCTTCCATTTCTTTCCTCAGATAAAGTATATCCTCGCTAAGCTTGAGTTTAGTTGATCTGTGAGGGCAAAATCTATGCCATGACACACTGCAACTAACATTAAGTCTCAGCTAGGCCTCAGTTTCTGTTTCTCCAAAGCAGGACTTGCAGTTGCTGGTAAACTCCCACTTGAGTAATTTGCCAAGATAAGGAATAGGGCAGTTGGGTCTGGCTGGCCATGAAGGGTCACTGCACTCTCCTTAAAAACTGTTACTAATCTTTGCCTAATTGCTGACCACCAGTGTAATAGGGCCAGTGCTAAAAATAGAACAGTTTATAAATTGCCTCTTAAATCTATATAAACTGCTTGTGATTTGGAGTCAGGGTCCTTATCAAGACTCCACTGCGTTGGTTGGGTCTTGGACGTTAGCTCGAGCTAGCAGTGGCTCAGGCTAGTAATAAAGCTCCTTTGCTTTTGCATTATCATGTGTAGACTTGGTCTTTCTGCAGTTGGAGATCTGAAACTTGGGCACAGCAGATCTATTGAGGGGTGATAAAGTGGTGTTGAAATCTCCCACAAGTATTGCGTTGCTATCGATGTCTTTCTTCAAGTCTATGAGTAGTTGTTTTAAGTACTTTGTTGGTCCCTTGTTAGGTGCATATATATTTAGGAGTTCAAGTTCTTCCTGCTGTACAGATCCCTTGATCAATAAGACATGACCTTCACTGTCTCTTGTGACCTTATTCAGTCTGAAATCAATATGGTCTGATACCAGAATAGCCACCCTAGCTTTTCTTATTGGAGTTGTTTGCCTGTAGAATTGTTTTCCAGCCTTTCACTTTGAGTCTGTGTTTGCTCTGACTGTTCAGATGTGTTTCTTGCAGGCAGCAGAATGTTGGGTTCAATTTTCTGATCCATCCTTCACTGTGTGCCCTTTAATTGGTGCATTTAGCTCATTGAGGTTGAGAGAAATTATTGTTAATGGGGTTTTGTCCCATCTTTCTGTTGAAGTTTGGTGTATTTGAAGGGCTTGTCTTGTCTTAAAGTAGCCCATTTAGATGTTCTTGTAACCATGGTTTTTGAGTCTGTGCAGTTCCTGAGCTGTTGTTTGTCTATGAAACTCTGTATTGTTCCTTCTGATATTAATTAGAGTCTAGCTGGGTAAAGTGTTTTTGGTGAGGCATTTTATTTCATTGAGTTTTTTTTCACTATATCCCACCACTGTTTGGGGGCCCTGAGGGTTTCATCAGATAAGTCTGCTGTCAATCTTAAGGATGCTCCTTTATAGGCAATTTCTTTCTTTGATCTTGCTGCTTTCAGAAATATTTCTCTGTTTAAGGTTTATGTCATTTTGATCAGGATGTGTCTTGGAGTATTTTTATTGGGGTTTATTCTAGCCGGAACCCTTTGGGCATCCTGAATGTGGTCACATGTGTCCTTCAGCTCTGTGAATGTCATAGCAATGATGTCTTTGACAGTTTCTTCTTCATCGGGGTTTTCTTCCTGTCCCTCTGGGACTCCAATAATTCTTATGCTGTTTCTCTTGACTTCATCCCTATCTTATCTTGACATCTGTTCTCTGATTGTGAATCTCTTTTCCATTTTCTGCTCTTTTCTGGAGAGTCTGCATTTCATCTTCGAGCTCACTAGATTTTGTCCTCAGCAGCTGTTACTCTGCTACTGAGGCCTTCTATTGAGTTTTTCAATTCATCTACCAGGTTTTTCTGATCTGTCATTTCCGTTTGTAATTTTGTTTGCATTTTCCACATCTCTGCTTTCAAATCCTCTTGTATTTTATTGGCGGTGTGTTCCATTGCTTCTTTTAGCTCCCTATGCATCCTCAGTAGCTCCCTTCTAAATTCCTTGTCAGAGAGGTTGTCTAGCACTTCATTACTGTTGGGGTCATCTGGGATAGTCTCTTCACTAAGGTTGGTGCGCTTCCGCGTTGCTTTACCATTGTAACCTGTGTGGTTTAGACCGTCACGCTCACTGTTACTATTGTGTGTTTGGTGTAATATTAATTGAGGTGGGACTAATGACTTATTGGCCTAATGTGTTTCTGGTGATTAAGCTGCCCTAGTGAAGGTCTCACCTAAGAGACTAACTTATGGTTCTTATGGGATATGGAGGGGGATGCGGCTGTGGCTATGGGAAGGACCCCTGCACCAGGCCAATACCTTGATTGGTTAGGAGGAGGAAAGGCATTTCCCACAATTCATCTGCGGTTTCTGGTCCCGTCCCTTGGAGCTCTAGTTTAGAAACTGCGAGGATGTGTTTTAAAGGAATCAAGATTTGTGGACTCTCTTTAGTATTTTCTTGCAGGTAGATAGACAACTCAGAATATATTTAAAAACGTTTTCTTTCTTGAACAGTATATTTAAGTCATTGTTCTGTCCATTTAACTTATTATTTATGTATGTAAAACCGCATGGTTCTCCAAATGAACTGCGTTTTTTTTAAAATTCTTTACTGGGGGGTATGGTGCCACCACCAGATCAACCTGTACCTGTGGGGTGAGTGCATCAGCAACCTGATGGTGCCTTTAGATTTCCAGATACCCCCAAATTGTTACTGTGCCTTTAGCCAGACCCGAACAACTTGGGGTCAAGTTTACAAGAAATTAAATGGCCAAAAGTTATGTATGTGGGAGACACACTCACAAACTACCCCCGGCTCAGCTATATAAGCTCACTTATAGTCCTTATTTCAGAGACCCATAAATTTCAAAAGAGATTAAAAGACAGTTAGGGCCTGTAGCGTGGAGGTAGGCGGGAACCCGTGACTGAGATCTCCATGCCTGCTTGGATTGGGACTGAGGCTAGGCTACCCCTAGGTCCCCAGTTTTCCAGTAGCTTGGCAGTCACACCCACAAACTGCCCCCAGCGACGCCATGTAATCTCATCAATGGCCAAAACAGAAACCATAAACTAAAGCTCCTGGAAGAGAGTGCCACAGAATCTCCTGACCCCACGCTAGGCTGACCTCACAGGAAACCTTGGAGGGGGGCGGGTTGAGTCTTTCTCCCCGCCCTAAGTGGAGCCCCAGCAGTCGAAAATCTCCAGAACCCAACCACCGCCATGCGCAAAGGCACTCTCCACTTGCTCGGACTTACAGGGCGTGGATCGAGATCTCCCTCTAACGACAAAGAGACTCCAGAGACTGCAAACAGCAAGCAGGGTTTATTACAGACTGGCTAGCCAGGGTCCAAACGCCTACACAGACATGCAGTTCCAGCAGGTTGGGTAAAGACCCCGAGCTTCTCCAAAGATCTTATATAGGCAGTCACCCACCATTACAGCAGAGCCCGCGCATTTCATAGCCAATAGATTTGTAACAACCCACACTTTCCCGACCAATCCATTTTAAAGCACATCACTCCTTAGCCTGTCGTTTAAAGATCAGCATTTTGTGTCAGTGCTTAGGAACGTCCTGGTTTTTAGGGCAGTCCTGGGTCTTGTGAGAGACATCTGGTTATCTGGTCTGACCCCCACCCTTCTCGAGACTTGCAACTCGGGGCACCTGTATCTGAATTCCTTGCTCAGGGCCAGAAAAACCAGTTATTTTGCAATGCAGGTTTCTGTTAAGCTAAGCTAAATTAATTCTGGTGGTCCATTTTGGGCCTGTCCCTCACAGGAAGAGCCTCACCCAAGAGAGGATGAGCTTCACCCAGGGCGGGATGGATCTCACCAGAGAATGGACCAGCAGGAAAACCCGGGTAGACGGGAAACCGTGACTGAGATCTCCAAGCCCGCCTGGATCGGGACTGGGCCTCCTCCCCCCAGCTCCCCAGTTTTCCAGAAGCTTGGCAGTTATGCCCATCAACTGCCTTCAGCACCGTGTAATCTCATCAACGGCCAAGACCCAGAGACTATAAACTAAAGCTCCTGGAAGAGAATGACACAGAATTTCCTGGACATTATATTCTATCCATAACAAGCAAAATAAAACAAATCATCTAGCATTGCCTTTTCAGCAGGTTTGAGTAGTGGTGAGACTGGTGTTGAAATATCGAATGTAACCAAAGTAGAGAGGGAAATTGTCTGCCATAGGCAGGGGAAGGATTGGAACGGGTGGGGGTGGGGGAATACTGGGAATTTTGGTGGTGGAAAATGTGCACTGGTGAAGGGATGGGTGTTTGATGATTGTATGACTGAAGCTCAAACATGAAAGTTTTGTAACTGTATCTCACGGTGAATCAAAAAAAGGGGGTAGGGGAAAATAATAATAAAATAATAAAATAAAATTAACATTCTGAGTAAAAAAAGAAAAAGTAATGTGGAGTTCATGCCCAATTCAATCAGCTTAATCAATGAATAAATAGCAGTACTTTTATAAAATCTCTGGGAGGGCGGCCAGGGAGAGGCCCCACTGGCTCTCCCCCTAGCCGCCCGGGTTCAGGGGGGCCCCGGGCACTCCCCCAGCTGAGGTGGCCCAGACCATGGGGCAGATGGAAGGAGGAGATGAGGGCCAGTCCTGTTGGTTGATCAGATGCTGTTTATTCCATTCTCCCCATGCACCTGCCCCAGTCTCTGAGCCCCCCATTCCTGTCTCCTCTCCCGCGCATCTCTCCACCCTCCATCTTGCAGCCTGGGCTCTCTCTCTCCACCTGCCTGCTCCTGTATTCTTCTACATTCTTCTCCCTCTGTCCCCCTTGCTAGTCTCTTTCGCACTCCATCTTGCCGCCCTGTTGTCTCTCTCATCTCTCTCCAGCTCTCGGATCTTTCCAACTCCCCAGCACTCTAGGCTGAACCCAGTCTGGTAACAAAATCAACATAAGAAAGCCCTTCCTGACTGCCATCAGTTTCAAGGGCTGGGGGGGGGTTGGGGGGGTGGGAGGGGACACAACCTGAGGTATTCCAAAGCCCTTCTTGACTGCCCAAGGGCAAAATACCTTATAAAGTGTTTTTCTCCTTTCCTCAGTCCAAAAACTCAATCAACATCTTAATACTAGTTATTTTTGTAAGGATACAGTAAGATACATAGAGGCCTGTAGGGCAGCTCTCCTAGGAACATCTTGCCACAGACTCAGACTACAGCGCTCAGGCCAGATTAATCTTTCCTAATCCTAGGGTCTGAATCTAGTTATTGCTTTTGGATCATGACAGCATTTATCCATGACCAAGCTCTTATAGTTAAGCATTATGGCACTTTGGCCAGGCCCATTTCGATGCAAGGGTAGCACATAGCTTGCTGCTTTCCCTGGTTTCCTCTTTGGGACCCTGCCTTTGGGGGGTGCTAGGAAGTAAGGGCAGCTGAGGCTTTGGCAAGAGAACAGATGCCCAGGACTAAAATATCACTGAGTCAGTAAACTCCCACTTTACAAAAGCATAGCATTTACTGTCTTCTTGTGTCCATTCAAAAAGGACATTGCTCTGAATAAACTGTGCAAAGGACTTAAGGAGAAGAGAAAAACAATATTTACAAGTCAACAGAGCACAAAGAAAGAAGTTACGAATAAACACAGAGAAATGGGAGCACTGTGATGGGAGCAACCCAATAAACCTAAGCTACCTGAGGCTATACAGGAAGGACAAAACAATGTTATCCTACACTCCTACATTATAAAAAAAATTAAAAATAAAATTCTTTATTGTAGCATATATAATTTTGGTGGGAAAGACATGGGAAAGCAGTTTGACCCAGTGCTTTCACTCAGGGTTGTGTTTCTTTCCAGTTATATGCAGTGAGAACCCACAGTTCTCACCATGCAAGCTTCTCCTGTCTTTCGAGACATGCCAGTTTTGCACTGGTCTCATCTTGGAGCATTTACTTTCTACCATATGATTTTTTCATTTGTTCACTGAAAAAAAAGTTATTATTAAGAAAACAGCAGTTTGTGTGTTTGAAAAATAAGTTTGGGGGGCAGAGAATAGTGTGAGGAATTAGGCACTTGTCTTACATGTGGCCAGCCCTGGGTTTGGCCCTGGCATTGCATATGGTCCCCAGGTACCGCCAGGGATCACTCCTGAGCACAGAATCAAGAGTAAACCTGGGCACTGTTGGGTGCGGCCTTAAAACTCCCCTCCCCAAATACTGCTTTAAATGGAGAGTTGCAGAAATCCTTTTGGGGTGTAAATATATAACAAAAGGCCGGAGAGATAGCTCAAAGGGATGGAGAATTTGCTCTGCATATAATAGTTCTGTTTTTTATTCCTATGTCTGCTTCCCAAGTATGTTCATACCCAGCCATTTATGATCCAAAGCAAAAATATGTATGGAGCAATTAAATCTTTTCTAAATTCACAATTTTTATTTTTTTGCTTTTTGGGTCACATCTGGCAATGCACAGGGGTTATTCTTGGATTATGCACTGAGGAATTACTCCTGGCGGTGCTCGGGGGACCATACGGGATGCTGGGAATCGAACCCAGCTCTGCCGCGTGTAAGGCAAATGCCCTACCTGCTGTACTATTGCTCCAGCACCATTTTCCCACTTAATCACTTAATCACTTAACTTCCCGTTAGTCGTCGATTTGCTCGAGCGGGCGCCAGTAACGTCTCCATTTGTCCCTGTCGCGTGCTAGTGTAGCCCAATGGCATCTCTTCGCTCCGGGAACATGGAGGGCCTCAAACCGATCGTTCATGGTCTTGACGAAGAAGTCTGACCATCTGGTAGGTGGGCGGCCACGCGGTCTCTTGACATCCCGTGACGTCCCGACTCCTCCCCGGCCGCCGGGCGTGCGGCGGCGTCTCTACCCGGCATGCCGCGCGGGCGCGAAGGCCCTAGTCTCTCCCCTTCCGGGCCCTGCCTCCTCTCCCCCTCCCGCCCCGGCCCCCCCTCCCCCAAAGTGAGTGAGCCGGGCAGATGGAGGCGGGACCGTAATGGCGGCGGCCGGCAGCTCCCTGCTCTGACCCGCGGGCCGGCGTACGGCAACGACCTTCCCCCCCACCTCGCCCCTCTCCCCCGCGCCCTCCGCCCCGCCGCCCGCGCGGGGCCACCCTCCCCGGCCCTCCTCCTCCTCTCTCTCCCCAACCCCTAACCCCCCGCCCCAGCCGTCGGCGTCTCGCCCTGCGCCCCGACCGGGCCCCACACACAATGGACGAGCTCGCCGGAGGTGGTGGTGGCGGCGGCGGCAGCGGCGGCGGCCCGGGGCTGGCGGCCCCTCCAAGGCAGCAGCAGGGACCCGGGGGAAACACGAGCCTTTCTCCCGGGGGCAACGGCGCGGCGGGAGGCGGCGGCGGCGGCGGCGGGGGTCCTCCGGCCGCCGAGGGAGCGGCCCCCGCGGCAGGCCCCGAGCTGTCCCGGCCGCAGCAGTACAGGATCCCCGGCATTCTGCACTACACCCAGCACGAGTGGGCTCGCTTGGAGATGGAGCGGGCGCACTGGGAGGTGGAGCGGGCCGAACTGCAGGCCCGGATAGCATTTTTGCAAGGAGAAAGAAAGGGTCAAGAAAACTTGAAGAAAGATTTAGTAAGAAGAATAAAGATGTTAGAGTATGCATTAAAACAAGAAAGGGCAAAATATCACAAATTAAAATATGGCACAGAACTAAACCAAGGTGATTTGAAAATGCCAACTTTTGAATCAGAAGAAACCAAAGACACAGAGGCTCCCACAGCACCTCAGAATAGCCAGTTAACGTGGAAGCAAGGCAGACAGCTGTTAAGACAAGGGACACTACTTCCACTACCCAGCCGTCGCCACACTCCAGGACGCTTTCTGGACCCGCGCGGCCGCAAGCGGCCGCGCGACACATCATAAGACACTAAATACCCATCTTCTGGAATTGTCGTACCATATTTGATAGGGTTCAAATATGGTAACACCTACAAGGGGGATTAGAGGTCACCCCAAAAGCCTCTATACCTCTCGGAAAGACTGGCAAGCTACCGAGAGTATTCCGCCCGCACGGAAGAGCCTGGCAAGCTATCCGCTGTGTATTCGATATGCCAAAACCAGTAACTACAACTGGTCTCATTCACCATTTTCCCAAAGTTTTTAAATTATTTTTCCCCATGGGATTATGTGAGGACACGATGTTGTGGGAAAACTCCAGCCGGTTGTGGGAAAGCTCCAGCCTTGAAGGCCAAGGCTGCATGCTTTCAGGAACCTCACAGGCCTCCGAGATAGTGTCCCGACCTTGGCCCCACCTGAAGCGTGCAAACAGATGATGGCGCCAAGCTGCAGCTGTGCTGATCCACCCTGCCCAAACAGTTAATGCTGATGGTCACTGAAAGGGGGTGGGGGTGGAGGAGGGAAAGGAAGGTATGAAAAGATCATAAACACAGTGACTGAGACATAAACATGGCTTTGGAGCTGTCCGCCATCTCCTGCTCATTTAGGTATGACCACCGTGTCTGGTCCCCCAACGCCCTCTAGTGGGTAGGCGTGCAAGAGGCGACCCCCTCAAGAGGAGCAGGAGGACCATTTTCCTCTGTCAGTTTTGGACCACACTTGACAGTGCTCCAGGTTTGTTCCTGATCATGCTTGGGGTACCATGCGGTGCCAGGAATTGAACTTGGGGTGCCCACATGCAAACCATGTGTTCCAGCCTCAGAGCCTTCTCCCAGGCCCAAATCCACAAAATTTTTCATTTAATGCATTAAACTTTGCACAGCGGGTAGGGCAATTTGCCTTGCATGTGGCCGACCCAGGTTCGATTCTCCATCCTTCTCAGAGAGCCCGGCAAGCTACCGAGAGTATCCTGCTCGCACGGCAGAGCCTGGCAAGCTCCCCGTGGCATATTCGATATGCCAAAAACAGTAACAACAAGTCTCACAATGGAGACATTACTGGTGCCCGCTCGAGCAAATCAATGAACAATGGGAGGTCAGTGCAGTCAGGTCAATGCAACTTTGTTTTACAGCTCTGTTTTGACTTTTCCAAATGTCTGGTCACATAACAAAATTAGTGTCTACTGTATACATAGAATATTTTTTTCAGTGTGACTGTGCCTAAATAATCATTTAATCACTAAACTTCCTGTTAGTCGTCGATTTGCTCGAGCGGGCGCCAGTAACGTCTCCATTTGTCCCTGTCGCGTGCTAGTGTAGCCCAATGGCATCTGTTCGCTCCAGGAACATGAAGGGCCTCAAACCGATCGTTCATGATCTTGACGAAGAAGTCTGACCATCTGGTAGGTGGGCGGCCACGCGGT